AATAGTCAGTATATGCTTCTGGATTTGCGATATTCAGGAATGAAGCAACTATTGAGGATGCCTTCGTCAATGTGTTGATTCCAACAGGCTGAGAATTACATTTTTTATTGATGTATCTTAAAAAGAATCTGTCTTGTGTTAGGCGAATTGGGTGCACATAAATATATTTTCTGCATACTTTAACATATATGTGCTCTTTCCAATACTGCAGCTTTTTTGCTTTGTATCCTCTCGATTCACTCTTCAAATAAGCAGTAAGCTTGTTATATTTCCCAATATCTATATTTTTATATACCTTTATAGTAGCCTTCAACATCGAATACTTCGACCACAGATAAAATTGCATATTTTTTCTTCAAATTTAAAAAATACGATAGTATGATTTCTTCATTTGTTGTCTCTCCGTTTTTCCCTCCATTCGTTAAATTCGGCGAACACTTTTTCGTAATGTTCCTTGGATTTCGCTGGCAATAAATGGAAAATTGCTTCTTGAGCTTCTTCAAAAACAGCCACAGGAACACAATTACTTTCTTGGCAGATAGAACTGTTTATTAAATAATTGATAATAAACAACGTACCATAGGAATCAGTGGGTATAACAAAACCTACCACGTTTCATTGAGTATTAGTAAGAAATATCAAGTCGTGCGAATATTTCTTTATTAAATTCCAATAATTCTGTCTCACAAATATGATTGTGATGTGATTATGGATAAAACGTTGTATTGCATTCGTGATTTTTAATTGCCTTTTATCCACTTAAACTACGACTCGTATACATTAAAATGCTACTTAAAACACTAAATAACTATTAACTTACTTTATATAACTTAGATTCTGACTAAAATTTCGTTCAATATGTTATGACATTGACATTATTTAATGATAGTATACGTAGTGTCAATCTTATTTTGATTAGTATTATTAAATTGACCGATTTGTGTGGTAGAGGAGCAGATTATTACGATTACCATGTTCGTTTTCTTAAGAGGATAAAAACTGAAATTGTGATCTTTTCAAACTTTGAAACCAAGTATTTCGAGGGCAAGAAACAAACAAAGTTCGTGATAAACTGGGACAGAACATGGAAAAAGATTAATTATTATTTCATACGGTCCCTGTCGCTTAAAGTGTTTAATGGAGGTTAATCGAGTAACACTAACTTGTTTAGCCAACTTGACATAAACAGTAAACGTTTGCCCAAGGATGGAAAGTAACAGTACACGCTTTGTCGTTATGTCCAAGGGGCACTATACCGTTTTTTACCTAAAGTAATGACAATGGTAACAATTTCATTATGATGTACAAATATACACCATTAAGTTTATTGTTCTGGTTGTTGTCTAAAATTGCAGCATTTCTATTTATATACGACTTCTAAACCATTTAACCACAATTTTAATAGAAAAACTTGTGTAGTTTCATTTTAAAACTGTCTGTCGTTAACATTTTTTTAAATATATTTTCGACTTCCTGCAATGCAAGACGCTTTACTGTCTAATCAAGTTTTAAAGCAACTTCAGAGCGACTTGGAAGAAACGAGGTCAGTAGTGCATTGTATTTCGTTGTAAAATAATAAAACTCCTTCAGTTGGAATAACCAGAAACAATAAAATCTAAGAAAAGGGAAAAAGGATTAGCGATTTTCTAAAAACACGGGTAACTGTTTGGTGTTCGATATAAAATGGACGATTTCGATTTTTTAGACATTTTTTTATTTTGTTGCAATTTTGTGAGACAGATTCAATGTGTTCCCCTTTTGGTATATTAAAGAGGAGACTGTAAATGTCACAGGAAATAAACGTCTGCCCACTAAACTAAGTTAATTCACCCCACACCTCTCGATTTCCCGTCGCATGATTGGAGGATATGAATTTCATGGCGTTCCAATGGGAATATGAAATTTTCCAGCTGCAAGATTTTTTTTATTTAATTATCTCCTACAATGTAAACCATAAACAATATCCTTATATTCTGCTTAGTTGACTGTTTCATGAAATACACCCAACTTGTAAAAATTTGTCCCAGTTTTGAAAAATTTACAACAAATTTTTTATTTCGTATCAACGCGTTTAAAATGAATTTTTTGCTGCTTCAAAATAATATTTTTATAACTTATTGTTTCAGAAATAGAATGTGTATGTAAATTTGGTGTTCGTTATTCCGTATTATTCTTGCGTCGCCATTTTTCTACAATTTCCTCTAAACATACATTCAAGATAACCTGCTACGTAATGTTTACGGGTTATTGCAAAACTGTACACGTACTGTTTACTCGTAGTAAGTAAAGTTCGCTGTACTTGAAGGTGTTTATAAAAAAGAAAGTTTTATTTTTAATTATCTACGTCTATATAAATTTCCAACTTACGCACAGAGCGAACTTAACCTAATTTTTAAGAGCCATTTGTTTGCAAACCTCTTAAACAGTTTACAGTTCAATTTTTATACTAAAAGCTTTGTACAGCGTGTACGGAGACGATTGGGCCATATTTGAAGCGATTTTTTTTTTAATATATCTTTATTTTAATAACAATAATTGTGTCCTCTTAAAAGGTTACGGTCTTTCAAAGGAATATTTTAAAATCTTTTATCGCAGCCCGTTGATACTTTTCTTATGTACAATGCAGTTTTACAGCAAGTGCTAAAGGTAATTTTAAAAATAACGAAAAACAAAGAATTATGAATTGTGGAAATATAAAAATATGATGGTTTCCTGGTTACTTCAACAGTCCTTTCTTTCGTCAAAATACATAATTTAATAATAAGAAAGACATTGTTTCTGGTTGGTTATCACAACATATACTAATATTTAAAATAAAATAATTCCAGAATCATTTTACGGAATATACTTAGATGTGAATAATATGTTACGTTAGAGATACTTCTGTTTGTGACGTCACTGAACTGTAGGGCTTCAGATGTAACGCCTACTATAGTTCTGATATAATTTAAATCCCCATTATTTGTGAATACCGTGTCCTATATTTTTTGTTAATTTTTTTTTTTGAGTATTGTACCATTTTCATCAAGCGGATTAATTACTTCGAAACGTAACCCGAGTTCCGGAAGCCCAGAGGAACCGCGTGGAGTAATTAATACGGCTTTAGGAGATTTGTCAGTTTTATCCGCCACCTCCCAACTTAATAGATGCCAGAGAGTGTCAGCGTAAGTAGGTCGGCACGTAACTAATGAACCTTAAGCTCATTTTTCTGCGTTACCTTGTCTTCATCGGACTACAGGACGTTATTGTTGGCGGTTTTTGCTAGTGAGATATCCTTGGCTATCTAGAAGTGTGCGGGTTATTATGTCCTAATTAGAAATTTAGAAATTTGAAAACGATCGGTATTATTAGATAACCGTGGGTTCGCAAATCGGTAGTTGTAGAGATACAGGCTGTCGAAATTTAAAAATAAATGACCGGTTTTAAAAATTTTAAATATCTCTGAAGACGCATAAGCGTGATGATGATGGCGACTCCCATTTCACCGAATTAATGTGGCAACTTATTTTTTACCTGTACCATCCCGTCGTATCATACCAAGTGTGAAGTCAACTGGCAGTAGCAGCTTTTCAGAGGCAGCAATGCTGCATGTTAACTGAACAGTGGAGGCTAGCCCCCGTTATTGAATATGTGGCTGCATAAGAAAAAGGAGTAGAAACATCCGGTATTTTGTTTAAAATTTTAATATTATTTTAACTTTCCTAAATGCTTTACGTAGTGACAGTAGTCTAGTTCAGATAAAAGTCAGGAATCATTGACACTGACACAATTATTTGCAAAAACTTGAACGATATTTAAAAAAAATATGTTCAAATATTTGGAATTATATAAATTTCGTGGTTGAAAACATACATAGGTATTGAATTAAACGGAAAAAATAGTTATTTTAAAACATTATTATACATTTGACGTTTGTTTTTTTTTTTGACTATTCTTGAACGATTGAGGATTTAGAATCGTTTTTGTAAAAACAGTGTTTTATTACCTGCACTCTGTAAGTCATCTGATGGGTACATACGTGTTGTTTTTCATGAAACTGTGTTGCTTTAATGGAGCCATCTGATTAATTGCTGTAAACGCAACGTTATTCTTGACACAATTCGCAAATAACCCGCATGTCATTCGTACTGTTATACGAGGATGCTCCTTACATGTACACTAAACAGGTGAATAATGACAAAACTGTTAATGCGTGCGTTAATGAGTGCTTCCGAAGTAGAAATACAATATTTCGCTTTTGGATTTTCGTGCAATAACCACAGTTTTTAAAATCGAAACTGGAAACCGCAATAAAACGCCCCCGTGTGGCGCGGTTTCGATGATCGCGCTGTATATCCCCACAGCTTCGTTATCTATCTCTGAAAGGAAGTGACGTAATTGGGCTTTCGTTATTGAAGTTTTATCTAGGTGCGTGTACTTTTATTAATGTCTTGGTTATCGATTAATTTTGCTTTATAGAACCATCATCTAAACACCCACAGAAAGCAAAGTTAATAATAGAGCGGACTCGTACGAGACCTAGAACGTATATAGATAGGGTGATTAAGATTAATATCCGGCGGATTTAATACTCGGAAATACACGATAGTTTCGCTCCCTTACTTTTCCATGCTTTATCGTTGAACAGTTTTGATGCATAATTTTTCCTTAAAAATTAACACGTATGGAAAGTTCTTTGACAACTACAATGGTATTTTTTTACTGTAATCTTCTACCTGGCATCTATGTTCAAGCTCAAATATCGTATAGCATTTACAAAATCAGATATGGTTACAAGAAAAGCATTACCTATAATAAATTACATACAAGCTTTCTGTCAAACTCATGTACGCAAAAACGAATACGTACTTATTTTCTCGTCAACTTTGTGTGCTGTTAATGGCAACATATCCTGGCGTTGTAGGCATGTGGGGATTGTAGTGTTATGCATTATTTTAAATTCCATAAGTATAGATATGTTTACTATCTACAGGTATTCAAAACAATTGCCCCTTCTAGAATATACCTAGTTGGAAGTTTCTATTAAATTTTTCCAGTCCGTTTTCGCGTTGTCTTCGAAATGGGTTGTATGTATTCGTCAAAGTCAACAGAAGATGATACAAATTTTACTGTGCAGTTTCATAAGAGAGAAAGTGAAGAAGACCACCTTGGATGTGTTGAAATCTGTAACAGGCGAGAATATTTCGACGAGTTCGACTTAATCTACGAAGAAATGGTTGCAAAAGGCGGTAGAGGTCGTTTAAATTTTCACAGCATTAGAAAATCGTTTTGTATCAAGAAGAAAACGATTAGTTTATAGTAGAGTGCCCGCTTTAATTTATTTTCACTTCTGTGGGCGTCGCGGGGTTACAAGCTGAATTATATATAAAATTGAAGCTTATATCTTACTGAATCGGAAACCGAAGGTAATAAAAAAATAACGCGGGCAGAAGGGCAGTAAAATCAAAAAACGAGTTATGACCACGGGCGGATAATACAGCACATTGGCTATAATTCTATATAAAAATCAACTTATATTTTGTACAGCATATATTTTTTATTAATTTTTGAAAGTTGCTCTTAACGTTGAGTCTTATGGCAGAATAAATTTTTAAACTGGAATATCTCGCTTCGAACACGTCGAAAATCTTACTTAAATTCAACATTTTTTTAGTTCCCACGCCATTTACCGGAAAACGGAGGCCTTAATCGAAAAATTTTACTCTTGCAAAAAGTTTATTTCATCAATTTGAAAGACAACAGCGTTTAATTCAAAATTTTTGCTTCAATAATAAACAATATATGAATAAAAATACAAAATAAATCATTTTCGACCGGCCGGCGGACGGCTGGCTACTTCGCTTCCCCACTTCGCCAAAGTTGAATCTGTCTCACAAATCTTCATAGCTCCATCTCGTACTGTATTACATTTTATTTTAATATTTCTTATCTTACCGGAATTTTAGGTGTGCCTTTTTGTAGCGGTTTTCGTATGTGTTTATATTTTCAAAAATATAGTTTTGTGGGTGAATGCATATAACGAGTTCAGTACCTAACCTGGTTAAAATCTTAATTTTTCACTTTTTAAAAAACTGAAACACATAGTGGTTGGCGTTTAGTGTTGTAAACAAGGATAATCTAAGTGAGAAATTTTACTTTAGTTAACTGTAGGGAATTCCACATTCCAATTATAGATTTTTTATCAGAATTTAGCACTGCACGAAATGAAACGTTCTACAACTGATAGTACTAGTTCTGAGAACGAAATCGGCTTACATGTAAAATTCAAAACGCAAAAACGCAAAAAATGTATAATATGTAAAAAAATTGGAGGTATTATAATCGAATCAACGGATAAAACTTCCTTTACTTTTATGAATTCCACTAACAATAAGATTCGGAATGATATAAACAAAGAGGTAGATGAGGACATACAAAAAGTGTGATTGTTGATGGTAAAACTGGTAAAATTGTTTGGCATAAAATGTGTTATATTGCCTATACGAACAAACAAAATATTGAAAGTTTAAGGAAAAGAGTGGAAAGACTGAAAGAGTACAGAGTAGCTGGTATTGAACCTCCACCACTTCCTGGTAGATCACTTCGTAAGGGTGGCTTTCACATAAATAAATGTGTATTTTGCTAGAAGCTATCTCTTGGGAAGAGATTATCCCAAGTTATGTCTAAAAATATAGAAACTAAAGTAAAAACATTGCATCGATCTCTTCAGAAGTTTTAGAAAGAATTGGCTCCAATGATTTAATAGCAATGGAGGTAAAATATCATGTGAATTGCCTAATGACAGAATAGAATAAAAAAATTGGGAAAACAATTGGGTAAACCACAAACACTTAAATGGAATTGGTACGGATGATTTTTCAGAAAATATGTTCGAGGATATTCAGATCATTATTATAAAACTATATTAAAAAATCATAATATTACGTCAGTAAACACTTTAAGAGGTTTGTTAGCATCGTCTTCAACAATTGCAAATCTGCTTCCGACTGAAGATACTTTGCGATTCCATTATTTGAGGACCTATTATCAGTCAATTGTTTAGAACTCTGTCCAAAATTGCTTTGTATTGCCGACTGTGGATAGAAAAATTGATAAAGACATTTGAACGTTCTTCATGTGGATGCAAAAAGGTAAGATAATAAGTAGCAACCATTTTTCTAGTAATAAAATTTAAATTTTCCTTAGATTGTGGAAGCAAGGTTTGCATTTACAAGAAAAGTAATATGGGTTGAATTTGGTCCTGTAAAAACATGGCTCAAAATCTTGCAAAAAGTTCGATGAGAAACGTGACTTGGATAAATAGTGTTTTTTATCTGTTAGTCATGTTCCTAATTGTTAATAAAAAGGACCTTTTTTATATATGTATTTTATATACAGGGTCTCCGGTTCATGTTTCAAAAAAAACTTGTGTGCAAGTTCCTCATGGGAAAATAATAGGAGTAGTTCATGTGAGTTTACAGAACCGTTTAGAAATGTAATAAATATTCTCTTTTAACATATTTTTTTTTCTATTGTAGATACCCCTGCAATTACCTGTATTGGCGACACTTCTTTTCAGAAAGAAACAGCTTGCACATTATTATTGTTAACGCACAGTAGATATTTATTCGTCTACAAATTTTGATATTTTTATCTTTAGCCGATTTAAAGATAATTAAAAAAAACCATTCGGAAAGTAACAACTTCAACACACTGTATCTCGAAAACAGGGCGTCTAAGAAAAAAACTTTACATGAACTATCCTTATTGTTTTTCCATGAGGAACTTGCACACAAGTTGAACATGAACGGGACACCCTGTATATATTTATTAACTTTTAAATCTAATTATTAAAATATCGTATTTTAAATCTGTAGAAGTGAGACATGATTTATTTTACTAATTTTGCATATATTTTTAAAATTTGTATGTAGTAGGGTTATCACTACTGACTCGTACGTATCGAAGTAATACGAAATGGAGCTATGGAGATTTGTGAGACAGATGCGATTGTGGCGGAGTGGGGACGCGAAGCAGCCAGCCGTCCGCCGGCCGTTCGAAAAATGACTTGTTCTGTATTTTTATTCATATCTTGTTTATTATTGAAGCAAAAATTCTGAATTATACGCTGTTGTCTTTCAAATTGGTGACAGAAACTTTTTGCAAGAGTAAAATTTTTCAATTAAAGCCTCCGTTTTCCGGTAAATAGCGTGGGAACTAAAAAAATGTTGAATTTCAGTAAGATTTTCGACGTGTTCGAACCGAGATATTCAAGTTTAAAAATTTATTCTGCCATAAGACTCAACGTTAAGAGCAACTTTCAAAAATTGATAAAAAATATATGCTGTACAAAATATAAGTTGATTTTTATATAGAATTATAGCCAATATACTGTATTATCCGCCCGTGGTGATAACTCGTTTTTTGATTTTACTGCCCTTCTGCCCGCGTTATTTTTTTATTACCTTCGGATTCTGATTCAGTAACATATAAGCTTCAATTTTATGCATAATTCAGCTTGTAACCCCGAGACGCCCACAGAATTGATTTTTAAGCATATTTAACGCTGCCGGGCACTCTACTATTATCTGTTCCGTATCCAAGTTTTCAAACAACCGATTCTAGAAGATTGTTGAAAAGAAACATGACAAAGTGGTTGAGTTATTCACTTCCAAAGGAAGATTGTAGTGCCCTTATGCAGGCAGATCAGTTAGATTTGGGAAGAAAATATCTCTAATGTAATTTTAGAATCGTCTTTTCTACATTGATAATATTTTTTAATTGGCGATTGAAATACTTACATATTATGTACAATTTTATGAGCAATAAATTTCCCATTACTTAATTAATATTTTTACCACTTTCCTGAGATTAGCTTACTAAAATAACTATAAAAACTTAATTCCTTACTGCAAGAACTTATACCTTACATTGTCCTGAGTCGGGAGGTATCCTTGGTGCAATATGAGAAGCTAAAAGGATGTGTTTCATATTATCTTTTTATTGAGATACATATGCGATAATGTTCCTGGCGAGAGATACATATACTATATTTTTCAGGCTGTCTGCAGTAAAGTAGGTCATACCTAACCCTGTACCAATTGATTCTACTTGTCACATTCGTTCTTGAAAAAAAGAACAAGCCGAAATAGGTGTACCAGCATATATTATACCAGCATATATTAATCGGATATTCCACTGAAACTGAACGGTAGGGTATGCAACACGCCTTACAAGTGAAAAACTCGCTAAGTAATTACGGTTGCCTATACAGTAGGAACAATTCATTTCTATCCGACTCGCCGTCCTTGGAGATAATAAAATCCACATTAATTTTGTCCCGACTAACGTTAATTGTTTTATGTGTTGATTTATCATGAATCTAAAATGTAAGATAAATGAAACGTTTATTTGACACACTGCAATTATTGACCATGCATCAGAAGTAAATTATCTGTAGGTGGATAACACGTATGCGTAAATAATTTTTCTGGGAACATTTTTAATCTTATCGTAACCGCAAACCAAACGGAGGTATTGTTTCTAGTAGTTTATAAAAAGAATATGAAAAATTTCGCAATATTTTTCAATTATTCAAAGATATCCGAGTAATCACATTTCTAAATTTTGTAACCATACCAACACTCTTGAATTAATATTTTTGTGTGTAATATCCACAGTATTATTCATTGTTGCTTCCCTGGTTCGTTTTCATTATGAATTGCCGTTTGACCTTTACAGACGTTGGAAACAGAAGACCCCCATTAAAATATCGTTACAAGAAGACCAGTCAGCTGTCTCATTATCCTAAACGTATAGAACAAAACTATTTGGTTTTTATTTTTAGAGAAATTATATTCATCGGTTTCAATTTCTTCTTGTTTTCTTTAAGCATTCTATCAATTTGGATCCTTCCAATATCCATTGGGGCACGTGCCTGTACCGAAACCTTTTGCGGCGGTTCTATTTTTACAGCGAATTTTATTGATTGATCAAATAATTTTCCGTTTAATTCCGAACAGTCATATATTGATCCAGATTTTTGCACCGGTTCCCTAACACGTTGGACAAATATTAAAAATCTATTTTCTTCTTGTCGTAACAGTGGTCGAGGTAAAGTATACACAGCTCTATTTGAGTTGCGAATTTGACACATTAACCCGCGATCTTCTATCAGTTATCGATCCATCAAATATCCTGTTGTTACTGAGCGACTTCGGTTTTTCTTTCTCTATGGATGCATGTACGGAATCAAGGCACGAGCAATGTCAAGTGTAGGTTAATACTCATACATACTCGTAGATTAGATATAATGCAATAAAGTTTTCTCTGTTTCATTAAGTTTGACGAAAATCATTGTACAACGGTTGTGATGTTTACTTAGGTAGATTATTACTCCAGTCGAATTAGAATACGGACGTAAAAAAATATTAGGCGACGGTGAAGACATGTAGAATGATAATATCAAAAGATTAACTCGAGAGAAGTGACATTAAGTTGGCAAATTGCAAATAAGCGGCAAAATTACGAGTTTTTGCACTTTTTTTTTACTGCCCATGGAAATCTAGACGAGATATCGGAAAATTAGTTATTTTTTGTTGCAGACAATTAAATTACCTACAATTTAAGATGCCTAAAGTCACATTTCACCAATTTGTTAATAGACTGATCGAAATAACTAATTTAGAGGGGGAAAAAATTGTTACCTGGACTTTTATTAGTGGAAATGGTAAAGGGGCTTATAATAAACGTGAAAAAAGTAAATGCGTGAAGGGTAGCGGAGGGTTGATTTGGGGCGTTGAAAAATTGTAGGATAGGAAAAATTGGGATTTTTGGCGAAAGTTGGCGCCAAACAAAAAAGTATATAATACAAAAATAAAGTTTTGGGTCAAAAAATGAGACACTGTTTCTTTTGTATTTTTTCCGTACAATTGAATGTTGTAATCGTTTTTGAATTTTTTTAAATTTAAACAGATTATCGACAATTACTGAAAAATTCATTGTTGCAAGTAATTTTTTTTGCATTTTTGACCATGTTTTTGAACTATGATTTTTTTATTTCACCGAAAAGTATATGTTAAAAGAAAAAAGTGATTACCGGCAGAACTCTGACGATTTTTCTAAGTAGAATTTTTCTTTGAAAAAAAAAAGTGTTTCAGATCGGAAAAAATAAATATCTCGGAAACTTCTTGAATTTTTTATCTAAAAAAATTTGGTTATTTAAGACACAGAAAGGTATACTTCCACCAAGTTTCGTCAAAATAAATTGTTTTTACGGAAATAAAAAACGAAAAATTAAAAAAACCTGTTTTTCGAATTTTTCTCGGAAATTTTGAGTTTATTTTTAAAAGTGACCTCTATAAAAGTTGTAGATTTTTGCATGATCTACAACTTTTGTATTGGGTACTTTTTTGTTTGACGTCAACTTTCGCCAGAAATCCCAATAATACAATTTTTCGCAACTTTTCAACCACCCAAATCAACCTTCCGCCACTCCTGCTCACGCATTTACTTTTTTCACGTTTGTTATAAAAGCCCCTTTACCATTTCTACTAATAACAGTCCAGGTAACAATTTTTTTTCTCTAAGTGTAATTTGGTTGGACTATAACTAAAATAAAGGTCGAACGCAGAAAAATCTGTTTTCGAAAATTGCCCATTATTGTTGCAAAAAGCGATGGATGTTGATGAAATTTATGTAAAAGACTGTCAATTCAATGACCAACATGTATGCCAAAGGTCGATTCGATTGACTGTGAAATTGTTGCTCAAGGTATTTGTTCATTAATTTCGTTCGTTTTTAACCCTTTGTTTAATTCTCTCTAAAATTCCGGTCCGATACGTCCAATAGTTATTTAGCAATTAACGTTATAAAAAAAGCTATCTTGGGAAGCTCTATTTAATGCGAAAAGAGCGAATTCCCGAGCGGCTTTTGCTTGACCCCGGAACTATTTATTTATAACGCTGTTTTGCAAATCCTACTTTGAAAAAATTAATGAACAAATACCTGGAGTAACAATTTCACGGTCAATCAAATCGGTCTTTGGCACACATGTTGGTCCTTGGATTGACCATCTTTTCCATAAATTTCATCAACATCCATGCTTTTTGCAATAATAATGCTCAATTTTCGAAAATTGGCTTTTTCCACGCTTGACCTTTATTTTGCAGTTAACAAATTAGTGAAAAACGACTCTAGGTACCTTAAATTGTAGGTAATTTAATTACCTACAACATAAAATAACTAATCTTCCGATGGGTCGTCTAGATTTTTATGGATAGTAAAAAAAGTGAAAAAAAAAAACGCACAATTTTGTCACTTATTTGAAAGATATGCTATTTTTCAGTATTTATGATTTAATTCGACTGGACTCTATGACGATATTTCATATTGAACGCTATACCAAAACTCGTTGGTTATTTTCATGAAGTAGTGTATAAAATTCATTACTCTTTGCGTTTACTTTTTATTTTTTTGATACACGCTAAATCTGAAAAATTAAAACCAACTAATAGGTCGGAAAATACAGTTTGTTTAGTTCACAACACTTAGCGATGTTAGTTTCTAAATTTCGGGTTTCGGTTTCTAAAGGAAAGGAGATAATATACTTTACCGCAGCGATCGGCCAGCTCTCTGATATATATCCATTATACCATACCATGTGGAACCCAACAATCGATTAAAATCGTAACGTTCGCATACGTAATACATATTCAAGCAGTGCTCATAAAAATTACGCCTTATTGTCTTAAAAGGCTCAATTAGATCGTATAAAATAATTTGTTAATCGAAATAAACCACGCACGTGTTGTTACATCTGTTAAACAAATTATTTAAAAGTGTGGTTTTCTGACGCAAACACGTGAATCCACGATTTCCTCACCCTTTGCGGGACATGGGAAGGGATGATTTAATGAAAGAACTGGCGTAAGGGTTCAGAATTTTCGGAAAAAACATAGAATTTATTTTATTACTGTTTGCGCTTTTAGACGCTGATAAGGATTTTGGATAATGTTTAGGAGAAAATTACTTTATTTTCATCAACTACCATATAAAATACATTTCGAATAATATGCAGGTAGAATTTTTGGTTAGATTCATCCTAAGGGCTTTGTAAACCAAAAAGGATAATACAAAAAAGGTATACTAATTGAAAATCGATAGGACATACATTTTTCGAGCGCGTTGCTTACAAATCGGCAGAAGTAAATTTAAAAAACTTAACACGAAAAAATATGTTGCAGTCGTTTCATTATAATTTGATAATAGAATTTTTTTTGTCGCAAAGATTCAACCGGTGAAAATGTAAATCGTTTTAAGCAAATTAAAAACACGAAGACTACTTATTTAAGTTTCAGTATTTGTTAAAGTTCAACAATTAAAAATGTTTAACATTAAACAAAAGTCAAATTCAGCAAATTTTTATAAATTAGCAATTCTAGTTGTCTCAAATTCTTAAAAATCAATAAATTTGTTATTCTAACAGTCAGTTAAGGTGACCTAATATAGTAGATAGCACAGTTCTTTAAAGGCTAACTAAAAAAAGGCAGAAAACAAAAAATATTAAATACGCAAGTAAATAAATAACAATTAACTGTAATAAAAAAAAACATTTTCCAAAACGAACAACCCCCACCCTCGTATTTGTGAAGTACGTACGTAACATCCTGTAAAAATGAAAGTAATGATACTCCTTGATTGCGCGGGATTTGGCTGACTCCTTGCTCCGCGCAATCCAACTTGTTTTCCCATAATCGCATATTTTTTTGAAGTATTTTTTTTTTATTCTCCAATTTCTACAATTCGTTGCATCAGAGAAAAAAACTGTTTTTTATTTTCAATTTTACCGGTTTGTTCCGAATTGTCGAATCTCCAAACTGCCGTCGCCCGATTAGAAAAATCAAAACGGACGGGAGCCGAGCGGATCACGGATGAATACCCGCGACTCGAATCCTTGCCACATGATACATACATACGCCACGGTATCCAGTGACAATCGACAGTAACCTTGGCAAACATAATATCTTTTTTGTTATTTATCTATTCATTTAATAATCGTCGCCGTCGCCGAGCTGTTCAATTCGTTTCGATTGCCTAAAAATCGCCGATAATTTTTTATGGTTCCGGTGTGCGCATGCTCCCCCGCGATAAGCCATGTGATGCGAGTGCAATTTTTTTCATTAGCGAGTCCTGCTCCGTTAAGCAACCTGCACTAATCAACGAGCTTCGATATTTTTTAAGTAATATTTAAAGAAAGCTGCCTGGTCGTTACACAACCCGTGAACCTTCGGAAAATTGACCCGCTTGGTAAAACGTTAACATTGATACATTCGAGACCGCTTGCACAATTATGACTTTTATTACAATGATTACTCTCCGGTTATCAGGTAAATAACTTCCATTAAAATAGTGATAAGAACAGCTGCGATAAAAAATGTCGAGCAAGTGTGTGGTGTCCCTACTATATGTTTTTGTGTATTGTGTGTCCTGAATATCACGGCTTTGTGCTTTTTGTATGGCGGCTAGATGTACTTGTCGAAAAAAATATCGTACCTAAACCTATTCTTTGTTTACACAGCAATAAATAATGAACGGTGCCGATGTGACAGAGAACGGAATCATAGAGAATATTAAGATCCGTTCCAAAGATAAACCGATCGACGTCAGCGATAGTCAAAACGATAGAAACAGCTGGAATCCGGACCGGTATGACATAGGCATCAAGATGCTCAAGGACAGGAGAGAGAAGATCACAAGTGGCGGAAAGTACACGGACAGGTACAAAGACACTTTCACCCACGAAGTGCCCAAGGAGGAAAAGTTCCCATTAAGTGCGAAGTGTCGCGATACTCTCGAACAATACCGGAAAGTGTCGAAAGGCGAGAGGCTGGACGTCTCGCCGGTCGTCGCTACCAAACACCACCATCCAACATTGACGACCGAGAAGATGAAGCTAACCAATTCCTCCAAGAGCAACGCCACCAACGACCTTAACAAACAAGAGAACGCCCTGATAGGGTACAAATTGGTGCCGGACAACATTCACAAATCCCCCCTGCGCGCTACTTCCCCAGTAAGCACCCCCAAGACGCCGAAATGGCCCAGGAAGCACAAGGACGTCAACATATACAGCATCAACCCCACTGACGCAACCCCCACCGCGGTCACCCCACCCGGTTTCCCACCTAAACAGCAAGGCGTCGGGCTCAACCTCATCCTGAACGGTCCGAGTAGTCCCGAGAGCACCATGTCTCATCTGCAGAACGTCGAAAGCATCATAACCAGGTTGAACGAGAAGGAAAAGAAGGAGGAGAACTTGAGGAAGTTCGAGGAGCTGCTGAAGAAAGTGAACACGAAGGAAGCCAAACCAGCGGCTCCTCTACCTCCGGAAAAGTCCAAGGAGGAGACGAACGGTCAGAGACAGTCTCAGGAAGCCGTTTCGAAACCGATCGTCGCGCCTAAGACTCTGGATAAGTCCCAGGACATCCTGAAGTCTCAAGAGCACATATTGAGTCCCATAAAACATTCGAGCGAGGTCGAGGACCTGCAGGAGAGGGTGTTGCGCGATGCGGAAGGGGAACACCAGGAGCCCTTCAAGAGGCACGTCAAGGAGAGGAAGAGTATGGACAACGCTCATTCTAAGGAGACTAAGACGAATAAGAACGTGCAGCTCAACAGAACCGCTTCTGATGCTCAGGAGAAGGCGGCGAAACGGCCATCGAGGACCGCTCGAGAACGTACACGTAAAGTAAGTCCCACGTTTCCTTTCCTGAGAGGAAATGGTCGAAATACAAAAAATCTAGTTAAAATTAAATGCGGTATTAAAAAACTTCGCCATGTTTGAAGATTAGATAAATCTGCGCATACTTACGATAAAATATGGCCTGTTTATTTATCTCAAAGACGGCGTTATTTTTGTATATGTTAATGTGTACGATTTTGTCGTTTTTTTTTAGGGCGCCACGAAAGATTTTTGTTCAATCCAGTCCAATCACATTTGCAGATTTGGAAACTAGAAAATTGATCACAAAAATGTACCGCTAAATCTCTTAAGACACTGTAATAGTGTACACAGATAACATGTGTTCTAAAAATATTTCTTTAATTGTCTGTAATTAGCACCCATATTTAAATTACTCGGTATTCCATAGAATAATCTCCATTTTTCGTCATTACATAGTTTTATACAGCGAAGGTTATTATCTACATCCACACGGTCATTGTAAAAAACGTTTATCGCCTTGGTCAAAGTGCTGTTGCAAATTTTTCAATAGAACTAATTTTCGGTGTTGATTCGACAGAGTATGAAATGAGTGAAAAAAATAACGGTTAATCGAACGCACTTAAATATTTGCCGAGACTGTATCGAGTAATCAAGCGTTATTTGATTTTAACTGCGTTGAAATTTATCACAGCGTGTTTAATTTTAACATGATTCCGATAAATATATTTTAAGAGCAATTTGTCATCGTCAGCAGTTACATACGTGTAATCCTAAATTTGATTATCTGGTCTTATCTGGATTTATGGTTGCAAATCAGTGATACACGACACGCAAACGGAATAAATAATACTGGCTCAAAAAATTTCACCGCGAAAAGTGTCTTCTGGCACGCCGCTTCCATAAATCATAAATATTTATTTGTTGATTACTGACAATGAGACGTATGCGCAACCCGATAATGATTTTCGCAATAAGTCCTCGTAAGAAATAACCCGTGGTGTGTTGTGAGGTGAGATTTGGGAGCACAGATGCTTAAACGATCAGAAAAAATAATTTGACAACTTTTTGGGCGTTTGTCCCATTTCTTTTTTACAATTACATATTTGAAGATATCGATAACTCCGTGTTTTAGTGGGTATTCACTTTCTTGATGCAATTGGGACATAATTAATGAATAAATATGCATTTATTAATGGGAACCTTGTAAGAATTTGACGCCTGGCTTATTGAACCTATATAATTACAAGTAGAGGTCGAATGACACACACACCGGGAGAAATTTGGGCGTACTGGATATGTAGGTTGTGCTTGTTTTGGTCAAGATCGAATGTTGTTTAACTGACCCGTCAGTATCGAGCTTTGGTTGCAGAAAGAATTACATTTTTGTAACTGAATCGTATAAAGTATTTTGTGGCTGATGTATCTTAAAAGTTTCATAGTTTTGGCCAAACAACACCAATTTTCCCTATTTCAGTTTTTTTATCTTAGACTCTATTACAAATTTCGAAGTATAGTTTGAGTTTTGGATTTTCTTTTCGTCATGATACATGATACATACAAAGTAAGATGATAAATGTTGACTTCTTGAAGTATCTACGTCAGCATACGCTCAAAATCGAGTTTCCGAGAAGTAACAATTTGCTTGTATAGCTACATGGAAATTCGGGAATTCTGATGACAAACGATCGCTCTTATCAGTAGGTGATATTGCCAACGAAGCTGCAAATAATGTTTGAAAATAGGTTTCACATTTCGTCGTAAATGATTTTTTGAAGATTGATATAAATTTGTGTTCCCTAGGAAAATTTTTCCTTATCTTATCGCGCGACGTACCCCTATTGGGAAACAATATATCGCGCGAGAGTGATATCATACCTTGGTTTTAGCTTTACCGCTTCGTATCGATAAATGCTGCCGGTGGAAATCGGTTTTCAAAGTCCGGATTACGGCTAGTTCCTTTGAAAAACGCTCTTGGCAGATTCGGTTATCGTAAATAAAAACAATGCCTATGTTGTATGATCTAAAGCTAATTATTTGCGCGAGTGATATTTCTCGTTTGGTTGATTGATTGTAGGTGAATATCTTTTTTTGGTATCAAGGCCGATTTTTCAAATACATATTTATTGTTCTCTGTCCTGGAAATTAAATCGATTACCAACATTTGATTCATACAAAACTGTTACAAGTCTCTTGTTCATTTATAATAATTCTGATTCCGTTAAATATCTATTAATTATTCCGCAAAAAAAGCTGAAACAGAAACAAGTCGTCCTCAACTATTATGTTTTTAATTCGTAACACCTATAAATTAATTACAAATGACGTCACATCTTTAATGGTTCTTCTATGGCAATTTATTAGCATCCTTAATGGAATTTTCGCACTAAAATTTTATAAACAGAATGGTTCAGCTTTGCAGTACACTTCCTGTAGGTCAGGTTACAGTGGCCTATTGCACTTTGAACTAAACAAAACTTTTATCTTACTCCGGACAAGTTAAAATAAGTGCATGTTCTAATTTGCTGAAGCCCACTGTTTATATTTATTTATAATCAGTGGCTTGGGATATTTTTGGAGAAAAAAGATCATCTGTTAAAGAAAGTTCAACATTTTTTACGAATTCCACAAGTCTAGATCGCACTGGATTTTTCTAATTTACAAATAATCGAGGGGTTATAGGTTTATCTCGGTATTATCGTAATGAATTTTGTTGTAACTATTAGAGATTACTGAAGTTAACTGATGGGAAGGTCGAACGAAATTTGTCAATAAATAAGAATCATATGACTTATATAAAGAAATAAGTATAGTTTGGGCGCGTTGGTTAAAATAATAAATAGCCGTCTTTCCATTTTGATAAATATCCCTTGTATCTGTTTAATGTCACGTCCCATCCATTAACTTCGTGACATTTTCAGTCGTTTTATAAAATATAAATCGTCGACATTTCCAAAACACTTATTGCTTTTGTAAATGATTAATGAGGTGGTAGTTTTCTATTAAAAACGTATTAACTAACAACTTTATTGTAGCCTTACAAAAATAGAATATTAGAGGGAACTGGGGTCAAAACTTTTTAACGAGCATCCTAAACCTCCTCCTACGACCTTATTAGTATTCAGAAAGGCAACAAATATTGGCTTAACTTGGACATAATGGGACAATCAATTTTTATTTTTCCATCTGCTTAACCGTTTTTCGAGGAATAAAAAAACGTCTTCTTTTATACGTCGGTATGTCCCTGTAAGGATCACGAACGGATGGCTTATTAATAAAACGGACGAACTTCCCTATTCGCACTTTGTCATCAGTGTATGCAAAAATATGACGCAGACGCGAGTTCGTGTTTTTAATATTGCATGAGAATCGCACTTGTCCATCCATTGTTCAATTTGGCTATCGAAAAATTGTGAATGGGATCACAAACAATAGCTTATCTTTTGGTAAAATAGTCTTCCATTTTTGGCGAAAGACCTCGGCCAAGTAGATGGGGAAATTGTAAATTCGACTTTAATTGGAGAGTTAGGGCTAATATATTTTCGAGGTACAAACAGATGACGTTAACAAATATAATAGATAGATTTTTTCAGAGTAGATATATTTTCTAGTTTTTTTCGGTCTCCGTTGTAAAATATTTTATTTAAAGGTTTATCTTGTTAATGCTTTGAAAATATTTCCTATCGATTTTATCTCTTCTAAAAAACATATTACTCACCTTATCTCTGTGTACACATGGGCAACATCGATAACCAGTTTCAATCATTTTCTGCTGTTATTTTATTACCGTTATTTTTCTCCTCCGACTAATTGTTGCAATTAAACTCGCGTAATTATGCCCTAAACGGAAATATTTTGCGCAACATCGGCAATTTGCAAATAAGTGATTATAATTATTATTCTAACGACATGCGAACCCGCTAATTGGGAAGTTAAGTTAATATGTAAGATCTAGTAACAATTGACGCAGGACTATGTTAAGAAATTAAATTTCGAACTTCGAATGTTTTCGCTTCAAAATTCCAGCAAATTAAAAGTATGCCAACACACTAAATTTTCCAGTAAATAAAATTACTATCTGTAGATTATTTTTTATCAGGTGTTCTTGTTACAACGAAATTGATACCTTTGTATTTGTTGTTTTCGATAATTGAATATACTTATTCTATTTACAAAACGGTTTCTAATTATGTTAAGCAAACATCAGTTATATTGTTTTAAGAGGTTTATTGTTGTTGGGTGCTTTTACAGCACACACATGGTATACGTCGTGTTGAAGTTAAGGTACCTATCTATTACTCGGAATTTATTTTTTGCATTGTGAGTTCCGTACTATTTTTCTGCTACAATTTAATTTACCCACTTTTATTGATGAATTCATGAAGTTCTTGACAGATTAGAACAAAAGAATTTAATTTTCGTCAATTTCCTGAAGTTCAGAAGTACCAACCCAACAAATAACAAACCAGCCTCGGATCAGCTGTAATGAGGTTATATTTTTGAAATATGTAAATAATTGTCTGGCGTCGTACTAGTTTTGTATTGTTTTTACTGATTTGTTACTTACAAAAACTAATATTTTTATAATATGTGTCAAAACGGTACCGCTGTTGTATCACTACAATTATGAGTGAAAAGGTGATATTTTTGAAATTTATTTGCTTTGATTTGTTGGTAGAGCTGATTCATGTGTCAAAGAAATTAACGAAGTTTTTAGCAGAGTAAAACCAAACCGTTTACAAATAAATTCGTGAATCAATTAATGAAGAACTTGGCGAATTTATTCATGAATAAATTGTGGAAGAGAACGGAGATAATAGAAATGATTCTACTTTATTAGTTAACTTGTACAATTTTAACCCTTGTTTTTATTATAAATATTCAGAGTATGTCTCACAAATGTATAAAAAAATATGTGCCGTTTGTTAAAAGTACCGACTGATTTATCAACATATGCAGAATATCAAATGATTATTATATAAAATGTGATTTAATTGTCAATCGTTTCAATAGGTCATCTTTTGAGGACTTTGAACTACATACGAAGTCACAATCGAATAAATTCAGATATACATGTTTGATAATATGTTTAGTTTTGGGTTTTCGAGAGCAATACGTTGCAATGAAAATATTTTGTATTAGAACTACCGCATTATTTGTTGTAACCACCGTAAGTAAGACACCTCTTTAAAGAATTTGACTAGATCATTGTTAAGTGAACATCTATTTACACAAAAATGCTTCCTTTTTCTATACGTTACGTGTAAAAATATTAGAAACGGATAAAAACTAATTGTTTTTTAATGTGATGTTACAGACCAATGACAGTACAGTGGAATCGACACGAAGCAGCTCGGCATCGACGAGAAACAGGCCGCGGCTGGGAGAGGAACCCACAATTGGCAAATATAAATTACTTAAGACCATCGGCAAGGGTAACTTTGCCAAGGTCAAGCTGGCGAAGCATGTGCCCACCGGCAAGGAGGTGGCCATCAAGATCATCGATAAGACCCAGCTCACTCCTGGTTCGCTGCAGAAATTATTTAGAGAAGTAAGTGAGAAATTTTTTGCCCCTAGTTCTCTTAAAAAACAGATAAATTTATAAGTTAGGGACTAGATATTGAACGGGTTCTATTTAAAAATGTTTTTTCATGAAAGGTTAAGTATGTGGAATTTGTTTTGTGCTTATTTATAACCGTATGGGTTAAATTTCAAGAAAAATGTTTGCTCTTATCATGCAAACTATGCAAATGACTACTTGAATATCGAAATCTAATCAAATTTGGAGTACGTTTTATGCAGAGTTTATTTTTATCATAAAAAAATATAAAATAATGCCCCGGTGTCTTATTGTGATCGAAATCATACAAAGTAAACATATTGCTTCTCGTTTTCTACGAATTCTGTGAATATCGATACAGATTGCAAATATTACAGCTATTCTCACCCTGCCTGTTTATGTGCACCTGATAATTGTTTATTTAATGACTGTTTCTATAAAATGAATGAAATCATATGGGAATTTCCCAGGTAAAAATTTTATTCTCAGGTATATTTGTTGTTAATGTGTTTCATTATTTTCTAAATAATTATCTTATTATTCCCGGCATTATTGTATAGTACTGATATGCAATTAAGAGAATAAATTATGTAGTTTTCGTACTTGTGGAGGCAAGGGAAGGTACATTTTTCTTTTGAAATATGTATTCGTTGGAGATATTGGAGAAAAATAAAAAAAATAAACCTATTTTGACATTATTTTAGACAAATCGATGTTACAAAATTACTTGAAAGGAGACTTTTCAGGCACATGTTTTTTTGCAAAAGAAAAATATTGAATATTCCCGTATTTAATAATATTCCCATTGAAACCCACTGCTCCGCTTTTTAACGCAACGAATTTTTTAATCGTGATTAATTCACGTTTCTTTCCAGGTAAGGATTATGAAAATGTTAGACCATCCAAATATAGTGAAATTATTTCAAGTTATCGAAACTGAAAAAACTTTGTACCTGGTAATGGAGTATGCTTCTGGCGGCGAAGTATTTGACTACCTCGTGCTTCACGGTAGGATGAAGGAGAAGGAGGCGCGATCGAAGTTTAGGCAAATTGTCTCTGCAGTACAGTACTGCCATCAAAAAAGAATAATTCACAGGTAATCCCCGCCGAAGAAATAAACGCCTTAAAGGTAGACCGTCAACGTATTATTTTTTTTTTCAGAGATTTAAAGGCTGAAAACTTATTGTTGGATAGTGAAATGAATATTAAAATCGCAGACTTCGGATTTTCAAATGAATTCACTCCTGGTAACAAATTAGATACATTCTGTGGTAGTCCACCATATGCTGCACCTGAGCTTTTCCAAGTAAGGCAGTTTTTCATATTTTCTTATATACATATTTATGGTTTTAAGTGTCAGTGAGATATAACCTACAAAATGTATGTCGCATTTAAATGTCATTTTTACTCAATGCCTACTGGCATGAAACAAACATTATTTTGTACCTACTGGCAGAGAGTGACCTACTAATCCGCAGGTACTATGAAAGCACTAGGCTAAATAAATTTTGTAGCTGTTTGATATGGGATACGATAAGATAAAATAATAAACAAAAAAAAAATAACCCATAAATTTTTCTTGACGTTGAAAACATTTTTTGTTGTTTTAGGGTAAAAAGTATGATGGACCTGAAGTAGACGTATGGTCGTTAGGCGTAATTTTATATACCCTCGTCTCGGGCAGCCTGCCCTTCGACGGCTCGACGTTGCGGGAGCTGAGGGAGCGAGTGCTGCGCGGCAAGTACAGGATCCCGTTCTACATGAGCACCGACTGCGAGAACCTACTCAAGAAGTTCCTCGTCCTTAACCCGGCGAAGCGAGCCAGCCTGGAGACCATCATGAAGGACAAATGGATGAACCAGGGGTATGTGGGGTTAGTCATGTTGCATTCTATATGTGTTGTAATGGACGATTAGTAGAAAATTTCTGGCTGTGTCTTTAGTTTAGAGGATCGGCTGTGTAATCTCTGATTTGACGATGTGAAGGGTGGATGGGGGGGAATGCGCAAATAACGGACTTTCCTCCATTCTAACGCAGGTTTTCTATGGAATGGAGTTAGTTTGAAACTCGGATTACTTTTTGTTGTAAAGGAATTTGTAATTCGCACGGTAAATTACAAATTTCTTTACACCGAAACGTTGTTTGAGTTTCGAGCTAAGTCCATTTTATAGAAAATCTGCGTTAAAATGGGGGAAAGTCAGTTATTTGTGCATTAATTCATATTTAGACAAAAAACGCAGTACTTTAAAAAATGATCAGATTAGTATTTATATATTTTTTATTACGAAACGGCAAAAAAATTTATATTAAAAAAGTGTGATGTCTTGACACAAATCCGATGTTTGAAAGAAAAAAAGTATAAAAAATATGATGCTGGAAATTAACCGAAAACTTTTTCGTCGAAATTGGAGATTGCACTTCCGCGAGCTTTAAGTGTTTAAAGAGAATTACGATTTCTGTTGTGAATAGTGATGTGATTAGAGAAATGCTACACCATAATAATTTTGGATATATCCCGTCCCATTGTCACATGATAATGTCTGTGTGCACCCGTTCCACTCGATTTATTGGGATATTTTCGATTTTAGATGAAACTTCAATGGCAACATTGGAAAGGTTTCTGGGTTTGTAGTGGGACCCCCCCAAGACTGAAGATAAAACAAATATTGTTTAATATTTTATAGTATTATTGTACATGTGACTAATAAAAGTAGACGTAAGGAAAGCAATTTTTTTTCAAATTTGTCCCGTTGAAAGATTACATGGACTCGTCAAAAATGTCAAAATAAAAAAAGAGAGAGGCGACGTGCATTTTCAGAAATGTGATAAAGGAGCGCATTATTAAGGTGTAGTAGTACTTTTTCACAAAAAAAAAATGGCAACGTAACACATAAACAATGTAATGTGATGTAAGTTCAATCGAATACAGGACGGGGCAATTCACGACGTTTGCCGTTTGTTTTTTTTTCCAGATACGAAAATGACGAGTTGAAACCTTACGTGGAACCGGAGCAAGACATGAGCGACCCGAAAAGGATAGAGGCTCTAGTTTGCCTGGGTTTTAATCGGTACGATGTGGAAAACTCGCTGGATTCACAAAAATACGATGACGCTTTCGCCACATACCTCTTGCTAGGAAGGAAAAGCACGGATGTGAGTTTTTACGAAGTTCTTGCCCTTTTTTTCATGTATGTTCATTTACCCGTTACCCATTATTACCTGTTACCCCTTATTTATCCATTACTCATTATTTACCAGTTACCTCTTATTTGGCCTATTATCCGTTATTTACCCATTACCTGTTGTTTATCCGTTACTCGTTATGTCCATTACTCTATTTACCTATTATTTACCAATTACCTGATATTTGCCCATTTTCCATTATTTACCTGTTATCCACTACTTAGCAGTTACCTGTTATACTCCTATTACCTGCTATTTACCCATTACCCTTTATTTACCTGTTACCTGTTATTTATCACAACTAATTCAAAATATTGGCTTCAGTTTCTTATAAGCCACCATTGACAAGCTTAATTTTACATATTTTATTTATATCATTCTTTTATTCTTTTACTTTTACCATCAGAATGATAGAGGTAAGATAATAATTAGTTGTGATAAATAACAAGTAACAAGTAAATAAAAGGTAATGGGTAAATAACAGGTAATAGACAAATAACAGGTAACTGCTAGTTACCCATTATTTACCTGTTACCCGTTATTTATCCATTACTCAATATTTACCCATTATCCATTGTTTATCCGTTATATCCATTACTCACAGTTTACCTATTATTTACCAATTACCTGTTATATACCTATTTTCCATTATTTACCCATTACCCATTATTTAGCAGTTACCTGTCATTTGCCTATTACCCGCTATTTACCTGTTACCCTTTATTTACTCGTTACCTGTTATTTATCACAACTGATTCAAAATATTGGCTACAAACTACTACTTTCAGTTTCTTGACAATGGCGTCTTAAAAGAAATTGAAGGTAGTAAGTAGTTTGTAGCCAATATTTTGAATTAGTTGTGATAAATAACAGGTAATAAGTAAATAAAGGGTAATGGGTAAACAGCAGGTAATTAGCAACTAACAGGTAACTACTAAATAATGGGTAACGAGTAAATAATGGAAAATAGACAAATAACAGGTAATTGGGTAAATAATAGGTAAATAGTGAGTAATGGATATAACAGGTAACGGATAAACAATGGGTAATCGGTAAATAGTGAGTAATGGCTCTGTTTTCATCTAGATCTTATTTATTTCGTGTGGCGATTCGATGCTTTCAATATATATCCTTTTAAATTCAAATTTTATTTTCTTAAACTCGCAATTGAGTAACATTTATGTGGGATCTGTGTAACGCCGCACAATGCGTGTCTTTCTCCAGCCGGAGAGCGACGGCAGTCGCAGCGGCAGCAGCCTATCACTCAGAAACATGACGGGACAGCAGCAGGCGGCGCCCCAGCCCACCGCCCAGAGCCCCTCGCATCGAGGCGTCCACCGTTCGATATCCGCGACGCACGCCAAGCCTAACCGGAGGGCCTCGAGTGGAGGTTAGTAGACCGAAGGTTGTTGTCCGTGACATTTTGACTGATTTGCTTTTTTCTGTTTGGTTTACAGGTGGCACAATAGGTTTGTATGTTTTTGTTACCTTGCTTTTTTTTCCTTTTAAACGACGAATATTCTTCGCCGTCTTAAATAGGTGTCGTTTAGTATTTTTTCGATTTCCACTTTTATAAAACGTCTGTTTCGATGCGTTTCGCTAGGTGAGACTTTAAGGACGGGACCCCAGCCGCAGGTACCTGCCACTCAAACTAATAATCACCAGTCGGGCTTCAAGAGACAGAATACCGTCGACAGCGCCACCATCAAGGAGAACAGCGCTAGACTTAACGCCAGACCTGCCAGTGCTCAACCAAAGACGACCACGGAAAACAGTAAGTCGGAAAGATTCGTTCCGCTCTTGTGCCTGTGTATCGAATCCTCGAGTATCGTATTCTAATGTGAACGGTACAAAAAATTTTAATAACCTTTCTATTAAGAGGGCTCTGTAGCGAATAGGCAACCAGCAATACATTTTTATAGATTTTATTACACAGTTTGTCTAATTATGCATCGATGCGCAGACAACGGACTTTCCTCCATTCGAACGCAGGTTTTGTATAAATTGGACTTCGTTTGAAACTCGGATTACTTTTTGTTGTAAAGATATTTGTAATTTGCATCATAAATTACAAATTTCTTTACAACGAAAAGTAATCCGAGTTTCAAACTGACTCCATTTTATAGAAAATCTGCGTTAGAATGGAGGAAAGTCTGTTATTTGTGAATTATTTCATATTTAGACGAACCGTGTAATAAAATCTATAAAAATGTATTACTGGTTGCCTATTTACTATAGCGTCCTATTAATCTTCCAGTTCAGGTTAATATATATTTGTTTTAATTGAAAAAATTTTCATGTTCTGATTATTTTATAAAACGTAAAATTCACAAACATTTTAGGAGGTTCGATTAACTTTTTTTTTATATTTTAACTTTTCCGTCAATTTTGACTCGGAAATTTTGATTGTTACAACTAAAGTCTACAATTTCCCGCTTAAATTTTTTTCTTGTAATTTTTTAACTTTACGTTAGAATATGGATACGATCCCCTCGCCTTCGAAAATTACTGTCGCTTCTTGCCCTCCCACTCGTTGGTCTAGCGTCTAGTGCACATTTTTTTTGTTTTCTGTCACATTAGGTATACAAGCTCCGGCTAAAGCTCGAACTGTAACTAAGAACACCCCGTTATCTTTAGGAACAACTGTTGGTCGTCGATCGACGATTAGTTACGATGGAAAATCCGATAGTACGGAAAAAACTAACTTGGCCGTAGACTTACCAGGGTAAGTTTTCTATTTTTTTTTTTTTTACATTTTTATCGATTAGTTTGTTTAAAATATTTGGATATTTTTTTTGAAACCTTTAAATGTTTAGCCACCTTCCAATCGGTTGCAAGTAAATGTAAACTTTTAATTTTGTTAATTTCTAAAAAAAAAATTGAAAAATTCAAACGAACTTAATAATTTTATACACAGAGCGTAAATTTGAATAGGGGTCATATTTATGCGGGAGCTACCCTTTTAAGCTTAGAAAACGGAACTTTTAAAAATTTTTTTTAATAATTTTTAAACCCTGATAATCACAACTTAAATTCTTACTTTATTATAAATGTAACGAGCGTTCAAATAAAAACGTGGTCGAAGTTGGCTCTGACACATTGGACGTAGGGCGTAGCTTATAGCGACCAACTTAACCTCATTTCTCAACGAGCTGTATAGCAGCTGTCAGTTTCAATAACAAAGCGGCGATACAGCGCTTTGACAGATGACGTTTAAGTTCATTTGCTATACGCTACGCCCTACGTACAAATTTTCAGAACCAACTTGACCACGTTTTTATTTGAACGCTCTTTATTATAAATAATTTCAAAATGCCAATTTTTTCTAAAATGTGGAAATAGCATATTTGTATAGTGGATATTTTTGCGTGTTGGTCTTTGTTAGGATGAAAATAAGAGATATTTCTTTGAAAAATTACATTACTTATACAAATTCCATTTCAATTCCAGTAAAAACTAATACTTCACACTGAGTCACGAAATTACATTGTAACTGATAAACTGGAAACTTAAATTATTGTTAACTGTTTGTTTTTGCCCAGCCAGAGTCCTGTTGTCGAATTGCACCAGGTGGCTCGATATCATTTAGTTCCCATAAACTGGGTCATCGACACTGGCATTCACAAACTAAACACAGTGCTATAAAAAAATTGGAACAAATCGTCACCTGATTATGTTACCCGTAATATTTTTGCCTCCTGATCACGAATTCGGTGTCAGAATTTAGCTATCACACCACAGGAATTTCCTAACCTCAAATAACAAGTCAAAAATAGCAAAAATTCAGGTAAAAGTGCTAGGAGAAATACAAAAAGTTTTTTTCCTATATTCAAATGTTCATTTATATGGTTAAGACTCCGGCGAAAGTGAATCCGTGAGTCAGAATTGATGATCCTTTTTCTAACCTCAAAAAACGGGTCAAGGTCGGATATCACGAATTTTAAAAAAATAACAGATTCGCGCCAAATTTGGTATAAGGAAGTTTTCGGGGTCGCTAATCACGGATCCGAGGTCAGTTTTGCAAAATTCAAGATGGCGGACCAAATTTTCAAAAAATAACAGATTCGCGCCGAATTCAGTATACGGGGTCGCTGATCACAAATTCGAAGTCAATTGTGTAAAATTCAAGATGGCGGCCGACCAAATTTTCAAATAATAAATTTGCTCGCGCCGAATTTGGTATACGGGGGTTTTCGAGGTCACTGATCACGAATACGAGACCAGATTTACAAAATTCATTTTTAAAAATTTAATCTATGTACTTTATTACTTAAGATTAGGCAGATAACCCGTGAATAGATCTTTTACAGAAAAAAGAACAAGATATAGCAAAAAAAAAAAAGGTAAAACAAGATTGGGTACTTAGGTTATAAAGTAAGCATAAATATTACAAAATGAATTTCGCAATTCTGACCTCGATTACGTAATCAGCGTCCCCGAAAACCCCCATACACCTAATTTGGCGCGAATCTTATTTTTTTAAAATTTGGTCAGCCATCTTGGATAAGCCATCTTGATATTTGCAAAATTTACCTCGGATCCGTAATCAGCGACCTCGAACCCTCCCCGATATCAGTAATTAATATTGTTAAAATTTATCTCAATAAATAGCTTTTATTGTGATATTTTTTTATTATTTTGCAAAATTGGAACGTATCTCCGATATTTCCTCCATTTTGACTGTTTTATCTTTTTAAAGATGCCCGAAACTGACCCCACTTAAAGTTACGCCCTGTATACATTTTTTGGTTTCAATAATTACATTTTGTTTTTCAAATCTGTACATTTCTCCAGCAACTTCAATATCCTATTAATTTTTTTGAGAGTACTTAACACCATAGTTTTTTTTGGTTATGGTGATGGATTTTAATCTCTAAACAAAATTATGCCGCAAACATTTATTTTTCGAATACGTCCACATTTTTATTTCATAACAACACTGTCCCCGAAATCTAATCCGTAGATTACTTGATGTATCAGAAACACGATTACTAATTACCTTTTAATCATCCGAAACCGATCACATGTACCAGACTTAACCCGAAACTTATACGATTGTTACCTTGATAGTTTAATGTTGTGAATAGACTTGTTAGTTCGTATCTAGAGTACATTTAACCCCTCCATAAAGTAAAAATGTATTATCTTTTGCTAACCGCATGTGCAGACCTGAGGCGATTGGTACCGGAGACTCTTTAAGGCCTGGAAAGGGTCACGTCAAATCCGCCTCGGTCAGTAGTAGTGGCCCAGAACCTACTACTGACCCCTTACGTACTAGGTAGGTTAGATATTTGGGATGGCGGGAAAACATACGTTTCGTAAACCGCCCGTACGCGGGTGATCGATCGTACGATCGAATCGTGTTAAAAGACGTATGTTTTTGTCCGAGCGACCCGAATTGTCCCATTTTAGTGTTTTACCGCTTGATTAGTCTAGTAGTTACGTGTATATTGTGTTGTTTACTAAGTTGGTAAGAGTGATTAAAAACTACTAATTCGCCGTCCGAGTAAATGACGGAATTGGTTCGATTTATATGCTCCCAGTTTTTACATGTAAGACCGTCTAAAGTTAGCCCTGTTTTCTGCTGCTATACTATCCGCAATGAAAATATCGGGAGGCTACTTAAAGTCACCCTGTATTTATTGGCATTACCGTAATTGACGGTAACTTAAAATTAAAACGAAACGACCTTCACCGCAAAACGAACGATTATTCCGTCACTTACTTAAGAACCGCTGTAAATAACAATAACTAGGCACCCAGACGTGTCGTAACATTCTACGTGCTGTCATAGATAACGCTCGCGAGTCGCCCCGATAATCGTTTCTAACCCGATTTTCCTCCCCGCAGTCGCACAAGCGCATCCCCCGCCGCCACCAGGCAGCAGCAGGCCTTCCCCAGGAACACCTCGTCGAGGAGCACCTTCCACTCGGGCCAGACCAGACAGAGGGCCGCCTACGCTCAGGGCTCCCCCGGTGACTCGCCGCACACAAGGCCCTCGTTTTTCGCCAAGTTCAGTCTCAAGGGCTTTACGAAAAGGTAAGAGTTTAATTTTAATCGGAAGTAAATGTCGAGTAAACAATACAGATACTAGCGTTGACGATGCGGTTTAATTGTGCGTCGCTGTATGTAATGTTTACTTCGTAGATTTAGTATAGTGATATGTGTTTAATTGTAACAAACTTGGCTGTAAATTTATGCTTTTATGTCGCTTCTTCTCTCACCAGCTACTAACCCGTAACATTTATCTGTCCGCTTCTCGTTGCAAATCGACTTAACCCCCTTACGTGTTATTTAACCGATGTGTTTCCACTTTGTAATAATGTAATAATTATTAGTTGGATCTTGCATTTTATTAGAGTAATTTACCCATTACTAAACTTCAGATGTGCCGCACACAACTTCGATAGTACTTAACTTAAAAACGTTGAATTCACATCTCTTATTAATCCATTATTTTTGATAATAAATAGTCGAGTCGGAAGAATCCTGGAAATACGCTAGGATCCTTTTTCGGATTGTCGTGCCTTGGCCTATGTATCTGGTCGCCCCCAATTACAGGCTTACTTTGCACTTCCTTAGTCTTTGATTTGAATTTGTTGTTCTCAGACCGGGCTCTGTGGGGGGCAGAGCCTAGCCCCAGAACAACAAGGACAGGTCAAAGTTTCCTAAGGTTAAATAAGTTGCAATGTAAGTCTGTAACGTGCTTTAGTAAAAGATGGACGAGTAAGGGATTTTCAGATTCACCTTTGAAAAACTGTAAAAAGAGTACACAAATCCTGATTTCATTTTCACCTTAATTTTACTAATTAATTCTGTTTTATGAACATTGTAGTATTTTAGAAATGTCTCGATTGCTATAGAATTTTTTGAAGCACGCAACGCTTCATTACAATGCAGGGCGATCGATGTACGAGGGTCGATCAATAAGTACCCGTGTTAGGAATGAATTTTTTTCTCAACGTAATTTTTTAGGTCGATACTCTTTTCCCAACGTTTCTGCCATTTCTTCCGGCCAACACTTTTCTATCACTTAACATGCAAATTGTTGATTGTCGTTCTGTACGACACGCTTAAGGCCTCTCTACTTCACGCACGTTAGTTCGGCGTTCAGCGAGATTCATGTCGTGGACCTTTTCAATGGCTTTCTCGGAAACCATGACAGCCGGACGGCCTGGCCGCTCCTCATCATAAGCTGTTGTGCAACCTCGTTTAAATTTTTTTAACCAATATCTCACGGTTGTCGTGGGTGGCGAATGATCCTTACAGATCGCTTTTATTGCTCTTCCATTTTATCGAGAAACACAAAACTCGTGTTGATACAACTGTCTGAAATTTAGTATCGTGTCGTTTGCCAGGTGACAGTACATGAGGGTAATGTCTACTTCCCTCAGCAACGCCACCTGTCTTCAGACACGGGTACTTATTGATCGACCCTCGTATCTTGGGTAGCGCTTTTTATTGAAAATAACTGAAGATAATTAATTAATATAATAATAATAATAATAATAATAATTTTTATTGATCGAACGAACGCAACTTTAATGTAAAACATGCTACCGCATGAATGACAGCTAATGACATCAGTTATCTTCGAGAAAAACATTTCCCGAGACACACCGATGGCCCTTCATTTCATGAAATACCTTTGAAGACAAATTTCTCTACTTTTTTATGTTTGTCCTTCAGCACCGCCCATTTTTTTATCAGCTTGGACGTTGAACTTAACTTTTGTAAGCATCCCAATCGTTCCATACAATGTGTTACATCAGTCTTTTTTTTTCTGTGTGTGCGTGTGTGTCTGATAGATTCACGTCGGTGCTTCTATCGGACTTGAGTTTTAGTAAATAGTGAACGTAAACGATTTATCTTAGCATTAACGTGAATGAAGTAAAGAGAAACTTAAGAAAATTATGACTGTGTGGATCGGTTGTTCGTATTTCCTTACTTTAATTGATGCTAGCGTTCCAAATAATTTGTGGATCAGCATAAAGTAAAGGGATTCTTGGAATGGTAGTTTACTATTAAAAAAAATGAACAAAAACGAAGCGACAACAGAAGAAAAACTATTGTTGAAAATATATGTACGGATATGCTTATATAACAAACTTTGTACTCGTCTGATTTGAAAAATAACAGGAATTAAATTTTAATATGCTGTTTTGATTAAAATTTTGATAAATACTATACAGGATGATAAAAAAATTAAATTAAAGATAGATGTTCAATAATTGTTATTATACAGGGTGATTCCGAATTGTTTGGTACAAGAGAAATTGTGAGGTTATAGCAGATTTTCAAAATATTTTTTTTTAGTTTTTAATGAAAATTTTGATATTTTCGGTGATTTTCATAACGGCCACAATTGAACTTCTTTGTGAAATGTTGACACTTCATCTATAATTTTTTTTTATTATAAACTAACGCAAAAAATTAAAGGGTCAAAAGAATTTTCTAAATTTTTCCGTGATTTTTGACAGACCGTATTTAGGTGAAAAATGGTCGTATCAGGAATTAAAAAAAAGCATTTTGAAGCTCTAAAATTCTAGTTTCTAGATTTTCGGTCGAAATTTTTTAGGAACTTTTTCCGAGTCCACGGACTTGGAAAAATTCAATAATCGATATCTCGGTAACAATTTTAAAAAATGGGAAAAAAGGGTAATTTATGGTTTTTTAGAAAATTGACAGCTAAATTTAGAAATATTCATGAAATGACTAATGTTAAGCATGACTTTTCCAGTTCGATATACCCAGAATAACCCAGTGAAGTTTCATTTCGATCTAGTAAACCGTTTATTTGTTTGAAATGGTCAAACTTTTGAAAAAATTAATCGGTCACTTTTTTTGAGCTTAAACATTTCATAATCATTAAAATGGGAAAAAAATAGTTTTGAAGTTTTCTCACATTTTTACCACAAATAACGTTTAAATTGATAGAAAAAAAAGTTTCTTTTGTTTTTTTGGAAAACCTTCCGGACATTGAAGAAATCGAATTTTTTGCAATAGTGGATTTCAACTTGCATATCAATGTTACAATTTTTTAATTGGAATCTAGTTAGTCGTGGCCTAAATAAAAAGAGCCGTCAGCATTTTTCAGAAATTAATAGTTTGCCACACCTCTGAAGTCTTCTATGTCTGATGATTCTGTTGATGACCCGAGGAGTTGTTTCTCACAATATCATTTGTTAAAAAGTTTATTTCGTGTAACGCTTTCGTAGCATCTACAGATCAGTAGGTCGCTCTCTGCCAGTAGGTACTAAGTTGTGCTTTGTATGAGTAGGCATTGAATATCAATGACATTTGACATGACATATATACTTTGTAGGTTAAATCTCAGACATATTGAAATTGTTTCGTCCTCATAAAAGAGGCCAATGTTCCCGATACCCACAACTTTCTGCCTTTAATAATAACTAAAATACCCCTAATATGGCATCGAAGATGTGATGCGGTGTCAAAATTGAAAAAAATTTAAGTTATTTCTTCAACGATTTTAAAATTTTATTGAAATTTATTACCTTTGATATATTGCGAGTCTAATCAAGTAGTTCGGGATAGATATATATTTTTGACCTAAAAATCTGATTGCTCTACATATTTCGAAAACTAAATCACCCTGTATAATATTTTATTTCTATCTTCCTGTATACGGTCACAGTTGAGCTTTTTATGTGCATCTTGTAACTTCACTGTCGGTGGATCGCAGCGAGGATCCGTGCAAATTTTTCCAAACCGAACGATTTCCAAATAGGTAACTCGGCTAGCGATGTAAATATTGTGTACTGTTAAAAAAAAAATATTGATGTAACGCTTTGTGATGACTGTTTCCTCTTTTTTGGGATTCTGTGTGTGCGAGTGGTTCGTCCCTTAAAAAGCAGCCAATTTTGAAAAATCATGATTCAGTGAGGGTTATTGTTTCTGGTTCAGGACTTAAGAGAGGGATTTTGAGGGACTTACCACCGCATGCAGGAGTCCGTATCTGCCCCCTCATACCTCTCCAACCCCGTCCGATGAAGCACAGCCACCCGAGAGAAACGTAATACTCTGTGAAAGATAATCCAACGGCTTTGGAAGATGGATCGTGCGCAGGGAGTGTTTTAAGTGATATTTCTAATAACGTAGAGAAGCTTAGTGATATTTCAGTTTTTTTTTTTGTTCATTGATTTGTTTTATATATAATATATATACACAGGCCGTTACAAATTCGCTTCTCACTACAGGGATCTCGGAAACGGTAAGAGGTGCTAAGTTGTTTAAGTGGGGGCAAAGTTGCGTAATCAGGAGACCGACATTATGCCTCTAAAAAATCAAGGCTAACATGATTAGTTTTCGAATTATTTGAAACGAACCGAAAGTTTGGAAATTCGTTTCTGGTTAATTTCAGCCTTGTTTGAGGCGATTTTAAAAAAAGAACACATCGCATAGTCAATTTTTATATGTAACGTTTTGTCTCTCCAGGACCATCATCAACTTCATTTTTTTAAATACGATTTAGACAAATTTGGAACGAATACGCTGAAGATGGATTTTTCGAGACAAAACGTCTGAATCTGGTTCGGGCTGAGGTAGTACAGTATTGGGGGGTCGTGAAGGCTTGCAAAAAATGTAATAAAATTTCCAGGGTCGTATTTAAAAAAATGAAGTCGATGATGGTCCTGGAGAGATGAAATGGTACATACAAAAATTGATTATGCCATTCGATAGAGGACAAAAAGTGGCCATGAGAAAGTCTCGTTCTTTTTTCAATATTGGAACAAAAACGGATTCCCAAAATTTCGTTTTTTTTTCAAATATTTCGAAAACTAATCATGTTAGCTTTGATTTTTTTTGAGGCATAATGTTAGTCTCCTGATTACGCAACTTTGCCCTCGTTTGAGCTACTTTGTATCTCTTACCGTTTCCGAGATCCCTGTAGTGAGAAGCGAATTTGTAACAGCCTGTATACTTTGTTTTACCAAAGGTATTTCGTTAGGATAAGTCGGAAGATTTTGCAGAGGTGTAATTCTTGATTTAAGTAGTCATTTGATGCTATTAGTTATTGTTGAAGTATGTAGATAGTTCTATGCGAAGCAATTTACTTTGATTTGCATTGTTTTTTTTTTAACTGAAAATTGTACATTTGTCCGATAGCTTGTTTAGTGCGACTTGTTTGACAATCAGTGAAAAGAAGGCTGAGGATGAAGTAATTCAGGCATATCGTTAATCGTAATTAGTTAATTTAATTAATTATTAAAGTCAAATTGTCTATGTTAGGAAAAGGATTTGAATATTTGAATGTTTGCGTAATTTGTTAGTACGTAAATGTAAGTCTTCTTATCAGTTACATTTTTGTAATTGATAATTTAAGATGTAATTTACGCATTTAGTTGAGGGAAATTTGTGTGGCCAAAGTATTATATGATAATAATTGAAATTCCACATTTATATAGCTATTGTTTATTTTTACTGTATTTTTTTTTTGTTTTTTCTTTTGGAAAAATATAGAACAAGCCGATTTAATGGTTTAATTTTATGACGTGGTTGTTGTAAATAAGTATTACCTTGCAAAGCTGTATTATTAAGGTGGGTGGGCTTTTTAACTTTTAATTTTAATTTATTCTTCTTGGATTCAAGATGCCGACTTATTTCTTCTGTCCTGTAATTTTTATTTGTCTGTCCTTTTCTAGTGATATACGCCATCTTGAATCCAACCAAACCAGTCACCGTAATAACAGAGTTTTGTGAGTATTGAGTTTTTTTTTAATCTTTCCTATTTTTATCTTTTTTTTTTTGTTTGTTTTTGTTTGTTTTCTTCTTTGATACTAATTTTTTATGCAGTTTGTACGATTTAGACACGTTTATTTGGCAGTTGCACGACCTCACATTATTATTTTTTTTAATATTTACCACACAGAAATAAGTTTGCTGTATATATTCACTCCATTTAAGATTTTGATTCACCACTCCTTTGAATTTCATATTTAACCAAACACTTACAATTTTATAAATCATGTTTGCCCGAACTAAGATTCAGTTAATGGGAATGGCTTTAATATCTTTCTTTTTACTATTTACATGTTTACATACGTACACTTTGAACGGGAGTCGTATTTATTCGGCGGCCATCTTTGACCTTTAAGAATCACGGATCTGTCGAAATATCCCACTTGAATGTAAGACGGGCAAGCAAATTTTTGCTGGAATACCTTCAGTACAACTCGCATAATAAAAGTGTAGATCTCTAGATCTGGGCGAGGTCCGAAACATTTTCAAAATTGCAAGAATGTTTAAAAAATTTAAAAAATACCCATTTTATTTGAGTTTTTTACTTATATCTTGGAACCTATGCATTTTGGAAGAATATTGAAGAGGAAAAGGTTTTAGAATTTTGCACAATATACTGTAAGTTAGAAATGTTTAAATTTGTTACCGATGTTGCAAAATAGCAATAATTGATGGAAAAAAAGCAAAATAATCAAGTTTTTTGGATGTTTTTAAAAATATTTTAATTGCTCGGAGGGCATTCTAATTTTGGTTAAAAAAACTTTAGAGTATAATAAAACAACATGCCAAATTTCATTAAATTCGGGTTCTATAGTTTTCGCTAAATAATTTTTTGAAAAAAATTTAAAATTTTTTTTCGAATTTTCAAAATGTTGCACAGCCTCAAATAAAACATTTTTTTACATAGAAAAGACCGCTGAACTTTTCAAATAGTTTTTGAAAAATTTTAATCGGTTGTTTAGGACGGCCACAGTAAATTTTTAAAGCTAACACTTTTTTTATTTTTAAACAATTTGATTACATAACAGATTACACATTACAATAATCAGAATTTAACTTTTTTTTAAAGAAGCGTCTTTCTGAGTACTTTAAAATTATAATTTTTGAAAAAAACAAAATTGCATATTGATAAATATAATGTTACGTAAGTTTTGCCTTGTTACGAAACAGGGTTAGGCCTCGACTAAGCTACAGTGGAGTCGGGGTGGATTCAGAGTTCACAAAATATGTTTTATTAATGAATTTTAATTTGTAGTCAAGGGCGCCAAGTGATTTTCTATAAGCCATATACCCCCAAACTGATAAAATCACTAAAGTTTACAGCAAAACGGTTTGAGTGGTTCAAACAAATGAAAGGACGTAAATTTTATACAAATATTAAATATTTAATGTAAATTTAAGGAACAGTAGTACATTAGTTTACGGAGGTACACTAAGTTTACACAAAAAAAATATATGTAATAACTAGGTATAAAAAAAGAGCTTAACTAATGTAAAGCCTGTGTTCGTGGGAGAAAATATCGTACGGTATATTGGGTATTTCGATAATGTGAAATCGTGTATTTGGACAGGTTTAATAAATCATAGACACTAAGGTGTTCAAAAGAATAAATTAATCCACTATGTGGTACTTATCGTCGCTACATTCAAGGCTTCTCAGTTTTCCACCAGCTTTTTCACGCCGTTATCAAGGTCCATCTACGTAGGATTTTTCTAGTGGAGGTGCCCTGTCCTCGAACAGCGTGACTATGACTATTTACTCGATTCCTAGCGGGATAACCAGGGATAAAATGACGCAAGCGTAAATCTCTATAGGACTCCTGGAGAACTTTATGAAGTATAACTTCTTAACCAAAAAAAAACACCTAAAATAATAAATGACGAATAAATTCCCATTCTCGATATGACTTTCGACTGACACCACTATTTAAATAAAGAAACTCACCTCAGGTACGAATTTCCCTATGCACCGAGATGTTTTTTTCATTGTCGCCTAACCGCATCCCATATTGGACAAGAAGACCAATCAATCCAACACATATATACCAAAATACAGTCTTCTACTGTGAAGTTGGTGAAAATCCGTTATTATTTAACGATATATCTATAACTTCACCAATCTCCTATTAACTTCGAATCGATCGCTTGTGTATCGTGCCAGCGAAAAAAGGAGAACCTTTTTTCCCTATCTGTTTTTTTCCGTTCTTTTTCGTACCGTGTATTAAATTCATAAAACCGACGAACACTAGATGCCATGACCTACACTAAAATCTTATATTTTCAAAATTTAACTACAGAAACCTATCCTTTATTTAACATAATTTAAAGTTAGCCTAATATACGTTATAATAAACTAATTGTTTAAAAATACAAAAAAAGAGTGTTAGCTTTAAAAATTTACTGTGGCCATCCTAATCAACCGATTTCAATTTTTCAAAAACTATTTGAAGGGTTGAGCGGTCTTTTCTATGTGAAAAAATTTTCAAGTATCTAGATGCTTTATTTGAGGCTGGGTAACATTTTGAAAATTCGAAAATTAAAAAAAAAATTATGAAAAGTATCGAACCGATTTTAATGAATTTTTTTGGTTTGTTTTATTATACTCTAAAGTTTTTTTTACCGAAATTAGAATACCCTCGGAGCAATTAAAATATTAAAAAAAAAATATCCACGAAACCTGATTATTTTGGCTTTTATTCATCAATTATTGCTATTTTGCAACATTAGTAGTAAAATTAAACATTTTTAACTTCCAGCATATTGTGCAAAATTCAATTCTAAAACTTTTTTCCCTCTTCAATATTCTTCCAAAATGCATAGGTTCCAAGATATAAGTAAAAAACTCAAATAAAATACGTATTTTTAAAATTTTTTAAACATTCTTGCAATTTTGAAAATGTTCCGGACCTCGCCCAGATCTAGGGATCTACACTTTTACTATGTGAGTTGTACTGAAGGTAATCCAGAAAAAATTTGCTTGCCCCGCTCACATCCACCTCAAAACAAATCGGCCCTGGTCTAATAAGAAATTTAACGATGAAGACGCACAAACATATCACACCGTCACATTGAAATCAATAATTTTATAGGAACATACACAAATATTTTGATTTCACTAATTCTTGTTTTGCCAAATTAACGCTCGTTTTTTTGCCTGCCTAACAGCCTGTTGTCATATCTTATCAGGTGGATTGATATCATGCATTAAGTCTAAACTAAGCCAGTGTCGGAGATCACTGACACTGAGCCTCGCGGACTAAACACAGTGCTTTAAAAAAATAGTCACTAAGTCTAAACTAAGCCAGTGTCGGAGATCATTGACACTGAGCTTCACAAGCTAAACACAGTGCTTTAAGAAAATAGTAACAAAAATTTTTTATTTCAAATGTTTTAAAAAATATATTTCAAATGTATCAAATTAGTAAGTATTTTGTACTTGTTTTTTATTATGTATATTTTATGAAACATCAAAAATAATTATTTTAAAACACTTATAAATTTGTAATGTATACCTATCCACATTCCAGAATTGATAAAAAAAAATGTGACGATTAAAATAGCATGCTGCAAAGTATTTTCTGTTGCAGTTTCATTCAATAGTAGTTCGGGCGAATTAGGTTTTTCTTTAAGAAATCGTGCCTAACTCAAATTTTATGGGCGAAAATTCTTACTTAACATGAATTGTGGCACCGGGATGCTTTTTTTTTAAATTTTAAATATTTAAATAAAATCCACTTCTTATTTGTGGAAGGGCGAAATGGGCGGTGACTATTAGACGCCTTCATTATAGCCATCTTTCTCTATCGCACGGATTTCTATGACTATCGCTCTCACGTAACGGCAGATCGACCATCGACTTTCCGAACCTGTATATCTTGATATACAGGGTGTTTCATAATATATGCGCAGGACTTCAGGATGTGATAGCTCGTCCAAAAATTTGAAAAAAAGCTTGTATTAACTTACCCTCTAAAATGCACAATTTTCGAGATACAGGGTGTTGAAATTGTAAAAAAAATTTCGTTTTCTGCGAATATCTTCGTAACCGTTTATCGTACAGAAAACGGCTTTTGTAAACATTTTCCACTCATAATAAGCTATGTTCTGTGCGAGAAAAAATTTTTTTCATAGTCATAATTGGTGAAGATTTTGAAGGGGAAGTGGGTGTTTTTCTCCCCAACTTCTACGCTACTGTAAAAAGTACGGTTTTGAGACGCCCATTTGAACCGCCAATGTTTTCTACACAAAAAAAGTACTCTTGGTCATAAGCTCTAAAGTTGACCATTTTCGAGAAAAATCTACTTTTATGTTGAAAAACATGGTCAATTTTGTTAAATAAAATTTTTTTACTAATTACACAGCACCTGCTCGGATTGACTAACATTTTACTTTGTTGAGAAATTCGGGAAATCACATAAATAAACACGTTTGTCAACGATTAGCATAAGGTTTTGCTGCCATCTGTTAACAGTTTTAGCAACTTTAAACCAGTAGGAATCATTATTTAAATTTTTATAAATATCATGATATATATCGAAGAATAAATATCGTGATAGATATCAATGATATATATCGGATATATATCATACCAACTCTGCGTACAACAGGGTTCTGACATATAAAAAAAAGATTATTCTTAGACTTGGACTTTGGGGGGCTGTAACTCCGAAAGAGGAGGCCACTTGGCAAATAGAAAAAATACGGGTCCCTAAATTTGTCTTAACAATCTATGACCAAATTTTGTTGCATTAATTTCCTGACACCCCGTAGAATTCATTCATAACATAAAGGAAATATTAACATCGTTTCACATTCGACAAATCTCTTCAAATTAATTAACATGAAAGCACCCGAAACTTTTCCGCTTAGCACCTCATTACTAATAAATTTAACTGTTACCTTTATCGTTCTCAATTTTATTTTCAGAGCTTTAGAACCTGGTCAGCAAGTTAAACATGGCACCTCACCGATACCTGCAGTGGGGTAAGTTGAAAAATTCCGCACGGGCTATTTCCCACCTCAGATCCATACCATTACCATACGATGTTGTTTGAAATTGCAAATAAAAAAACCGTATAAAAACGTTTCATAAAATATTATCTGTGTGGTTTTTGAGTACTGCATCGAGGGGGAATACCCAAGGTTTGGTTTTGTACCAAAATTGGCTTAGCTCCTTAGAGAAAGTTTACACTGTGAGGTTCGTGCAGCAGCCATGTTTCTTTTTCTTTTTTTTTTTGTTGACTAGTCTTTATAACCCCTTTGTTTTTGTGTGTCTAACAGTGTGTCATAGTTAAACGTGCATAGTTTGGTTTTTTATAACTGTTTATTGTTACCACACACGTATTTGTAGTCGAAAATTCTTTCAGAAAAAAGATATGTTGCAAATTGCAAAATGACGTACTGGGGTACCTCAGTGGGCGTATAACACAAATCGTGCATCACAAAGTCTTCGAACAGTTTACAGGGTCTGGGACGGGTCTACCAGAAATTTTACACGTGCTCCTACATGTCAAAGTATTCTTCAGTAGTAAAAGTTGCAATTGTTACACTTTTTGCATCACCATTTCAGCTAACGTAAACTGACCAAAAAGTAATTAAGTCAGTGTCAAAAACACACCATAGACCACTGACTATAAAATGAATGTCAGTTTATCGGCTAAATAATTGAAAAATAACTTTAAACGGTTCGCTCAAAAAGATTCGCTACTTTTCCGATTCGCTGGTCCGATCCTGGCGTAATTCGCGAACGAAAATAACTAAAATACTATAAATTTATCGATTGTATCTACTTTCGTAGGGTGCAGGGTGCACCGAACGAAGAGCACGTCAAGCCGCGTTCGCTTAGGTTCACGTGGTCGATGAAGACGACCTCCAGTAGGGATCCGGCGGAGATAATGGCGGAGATCCGTAAAGTGTTGGACGCTAACAATTGTGACTACGAGCAGAGGGAGAGATTCCTTCTGCTGTGTGTCCACGGCGATCCCAACACGGACAGTCTGGTGCAGTGGGAGATCGAGGTGTGCAAGCTGCCGCGGCTGTCCCTCAATGGTGTACGGTTCAAGAGAATTTCAGGTTAGTGCACTTATTAAGAATCTTTCAGGTTTCCGTTTTGAAAAAAAAAATTAAAATTTCGAGAACCGTGTTCGACCGGATAAAAATAACTTCAGATTTGCGTTCAACACCCTCGAAAATAGGAGGGTAGGCTACGTTTTACGCTACAGCAAAAAATTACCTTATTTTTGTTAGTCAGTTTTTAATAATTGCAATGGGTTTTCCGTTAAGGGTGCTTGAACTAAATTTAAATAAATCATTGCATTATGTACGTAATTTAGGCCACAAAAAATTGGTTATCGTCGATCTTTAGTTTATCATACAGTGCTTTCGAAAAGTAACGAATAAATTCATTATTTTTTAAATTGAGAAGTTTTCGAAAAAATCCCCTGGCACGTCGATTTTGTTTTTAAAAAAGGCACTTTTTGACATAAGACCCATATTTGTGACATCATCGTTGTTCGAGATATGACGTCATTGACAATTTTTTTAAATAGCAACCCCCAATTTTGACCATGCCATTTGAAAGAGCGTGTCATTCTACATACACAGATAATGAAAAATTATGGTGTTACATAACAAAAATTTCAAGAAAATAATGTTTGAAGATTTTAAAATTTAATTTTCACAATACTGAAAATGATAATGATTATGTAAAAATCGACTAAATTAAATGTTCAAATTGTGCACCGTTGGCTGCCTGACAGTAGCCAAGACGATTAATAAATTTTTACATAATCATTATCATTTTCAGTATTGTGAAAATTAAACTTTAAAATCTTCAAACATTATTTTCTTGAAATTTTTGTTATGTAACACCATAATTTTTCATGATCTGTGTATGTAGAATGACACGCTCTTTCAAATGGCATGGTCAAAATTGGGGGTTGCTATTTAAAAAAATTGTCGATGACGTCATATCTCGAACAACGATGACGTCACAAATATGGGTCGTATGTCAAAAAGTGTCTTTTTTAAAAACAAAATCGACGTGCCAGGGGATTTTTTCGAAAACTTCTCAATTTAAAAAATAATGAATTTATTCGTTACTTTTCGAAAGCACTGTATTTTAAGAGCCCCCTCAAAAAATCAGCTCACAAGAAATTTCTTTAGAGGTCGCTCAAGATTTTTAAAAATTTCCAAAATTGTCAAAAATTGAATTTTTTTTTTATTTTTTTTGTCGTTATTTTATCATTTTCTAGGTTGAAAAAAATCTCGAATCTGAAAATTTCAAATCGATATTTTAATTTCTAAAGATCGCTCATAATGACTTTAATTTTCAAAGTAGTGTACTATGTTTTCGAGCGACCTCTAAAAGATAAATATCAACGAACTAATAATTTGTTTTATTGAATTTGATGAACAAAAGAATAGAAATAATTCGCGAGACACTTAAATTTTAAAAAATTAAAAGATTATAAATATTTGATACTCGCAGTGCAGTAGTAAATTTTGCCTCGAGAAATTTTTAAGTGTCTCGTGATTTATTTCTATTCTTTTGTTCATCAAATTCAATAAAAAAAATTATTAGTTTGTTCATATTTATTTATAGAGGTCGCTCGAAAACATTTTAGGTACACTACTTTTAAAGTTAAAATAATTATGAGAAATTAGAATATGGATTTGAAATTTTCAGAATCGAGATATTTTCAATCTAGAAAATCATAAAATAACGAGAAAAAAAATTAAAAAAAATCAATTTTTGATAAATTTGGAAATTAAAAATCTTGAGCGACCTATAAAAAATTTTTTTTGAGCTGATTTTTTGAGTGGGCTCAAAACATGATAAACTAACAAATTTTCACAAGAGACGCGAAAAAAAATAATCGTTTTTTTTGGGCCACCCTAGTATATATTATACTGGGTGTAACGTAAAGGTTGGGAATAAATTAAACGGTAGATTTTTTGGTTTATAAAATAAAATTTCTCTCATATGAAGTTATGCTCTTTTCCAAGCTACAAGGCGCTAAAAAGTTTCAAAAAATTTAGTTTTTCTCCAATAACTTTCGAACATTATAAAATTTTTAGCCTTAGCTAAATTTGATAATCCTCTAGTAACAAGAAAAAGATTGACTTTGTAAGTTACTCGGTGGCGTGTCTACGGATTGTACCGTAAGGTTATTCGAAGAAAATTGTAGGACGCCACTGGTAAAAACATTTATTTATGGTCCATTTTTTATTTTAATCAAAATTACCCTCTTGCGTTTTATTTCTAGCTCTTGTAATTTTTCCGTAAATAAAACTTGTAAATATCATTTTTTCCCTCTGCTAACATAGGAAAATAAAAATAACAAAAACATTATGAAGTATGCTTTGATTCAGCCACCGAACGTGGTCAAATAGGCATTGAAAAAAGACTTTTGCATTGAGTTATATTAAAAAACTAAATTTTTTGATTTTTTTTTAGCGCCCTGTAGCTTGGAAAAGAAAACCCGTAGAGCGTAACTTTATATGACAAATATTTATTTTTTTAAATAAAAAATCCACCGTTTAATTTATTCCCAACCTTTACGTTACACCCTGTATATTTAAAATTACAATTTTTGAAAAAAAATGAGTGTTAACTAACTAAAATTAAACTAAGTTTACTTTGGCTGTCCTAATCAACTGATTTCAATTTTTCAAAAACCATTTGAAAGGTTGAGCGGTCTTTTCTATGTAAAAAATTTTTCAAGGATCTAGGTGCTTTATTTGAGGCTGCAACATTTTGAAAATTCGAAAACATTTTTTCAAAATTTTTTTCAAAAGATTTTGCAAAAACTATCGAACCGATTTTAATGAAATTTAGTGTGTTGTTTTATTATACTCTAAAATTTTTTTACCAAAATTAGAATGCCCTTGGAGCAATTAAAATATTTAAAAGAAAATATCTAAAAAACTTGATTATTTTGCCTTTTTTTCATCAATTTTTTTGCAATTTTGCAACATCAATAATAAATTTAAACATTTTTAATTTACAGTATATTGTGCAAAATTATTATTATTATAACCTCCAAATTTGTCACCAACATGGCCGCTATACCCCGTCAAAGTTCAAGCGCCGTTACTGGAAAACCCTTTATTATTTAAATGTACTTTAATAGGTGAATCATACGATCGCCTTGACGCTGAGTTTGGTTGCAGGTACTAGTATTGGATTTAAAAATATTGCTAGCAAGATAGCAAACGAACTGAAGCTGTGACTGCTTGTAAAAGAGCCGGAATTATCCAGCGAACCAACATAAGAAAAGGAAACGAGCCGTGTAGCGATTTCCAACTCCATGATTTTTTAGTATTCCGAAGCAGCCCTCACTTAAGTTCAGGGTAACCGTCGACCAGCCGACGCGCAAGATAGTGGCCGCGCTAATGTCATTGCGTATTAAAACACCAATTTCTGTCTCTTACACCAGTTTTCGAATATCGCTCTACAAATTTAGTTATTAAGAATAATACAGACTCTGCTTGTGATATGTGGAATTGAAGAAAAAGAGTATGAAATCCCTACACAGATGTATATTGATTAGATCTCCTTTCTTTTATTTTTTTTTCTAACGCAACTCTGTTATCCTTTTTTTCCGTCGTGAATTACTGACATTAAGTGGTACTTTACTAGTGTTCTAATTATTTTAACAGTAAAAAGAATAGGAATAAAAATGTATTATTTTGTTATTATATTATGGGTTTTATGTTTTATATCATAAATATTTATTGTATTTAGTAAATTGATTTGCCGGATTTTTTTTTAAATTTAGCACTTACGTTTTTTTATTACTTAATTCTTCCAGCCGGAGTTTTAGAACATCAGGATCGCGAGTAAGTACGTGTCAATTTCTTAGCATCAAAAATTATGTGTCGAGTAAATATTGGCTGTACCGCAACATCGTGACGAGTAATCTTTCCGCGAGACGGCCGGAGCCTCTTTCCACAACCGAAATGAAATTCCCCCGTTTACGAGAGGATCACGTTCAAATTTATAAAGATGCGACTTGCCCCCGAGTCGCCTCGCTTATAATTTTCCATGTGATTTTAATTCTAGGCGAGACCTAAGGACATTTACGGCGCACCTGGCGCCCGATGCGATTCAAATTAAATCTGTATATAATGTGTGAGAGTTGCGTGCGAGACTGAATGTTTAAATTATACGATTGTAATATTTTTAACAATTTTTACTGCATTTGCATTTGTCAGGTCGTAAAATTTACTTATTTGTGTAGGCGTCGCGTTCCGAGGAGCCTCGCACGTTCGTGCGAACCGAGTCCCGAGGATCCACGGAAGTAACGATTGGCAAGTCATCGAAAATGATTTCGAATCGTAGCACACCTGTTTAAGGGGGTTCTGTAGCAAATAGGCAACTGGCAATACATTTTTATAGATTTTATTACACGGTTCGTCTAAATATGAATCAATGCACAAATAACGGACTTTCCTCCAATCTAGCGCAGGTTTTCTATAAAATTGACTTAGTTTGGGACTCCAATTACTTTTCGTTGCAAAGTAATTTGTAATTTACGATGCAAATTACAAATTTCTTTGCACCGAAAAGTTATTTTAGTTTCAAACCAAGTCCATTTTATAGAAAATCTGCATAAGAATGGTGGAAAGTCTGTTATTTGTGCTTTAATTCATATTTAGACAAACCGTGCAATAAAATTTATAAAAATGTATTGCTGGTTGCCTATTTGCTATAGAGCCCTCTTAAAGTGCTTGCAATAATATGGTTACAGTACTGAAAATTAATTTTTCGTTAATCGGTGCTCTTACGACACCGATTTAAAAAAAATTTGTTAAAACCTTGTTTATATACTCGTACAGTTAGAAAATCAGTTAAACTTCAGAAATAAAACAGTAGATGGCGACACTGTCGTGAGAAACAATTAGTAGGTACACGGTGCGTTTTATTAAAGACAGGATTTAAGTAGTGTGTAAACGAATCGTTTGCTTGCCGCGGGTTCCTCGGGGGCGGTAACGAAAATGTCCGGGTTTCCCGCCTGTTAAATGTAAATGTAGTCGATCACATTAACATAAAAAAAAATGTCAGATCTGAGTGTACTTAGAGAAAAAAAACATCTTCACCTTGTTATAAAACCCTACTTTTTCCATATTTAAATTTTAAATGTTCTCTTTCTTTGATTAATTTGGTTTGTATTATATTTTATATGATTTTTCTTTGGAGCGCGGAAGAAGTAAGGTTCGATTTCATTAAATTTATAATAATGTAGTAATATACTATGGAGTATATAATTAATTGTTAGAATGACAGCTTAGATTAGTACGATACGCTGTAAAGAGCAATGTTTGCTTTTCCATAAATACAATTCTTTCACTGGGGATGGGCACTTTATGTTAGTTAAGCTATTGATCATTTATAATAAAATTGAACTCATTTAAACTGGGACAGTTTTCTTGCGTCACCCCCTATCTTTCAGGTAAGTAGAAGCGGGAAGCATCGCTGATAAACGGTAAGTACAAGCACAACCTACCAAATTCTCCCAAGAGTGGATCAATATTTATAGAACTGCGAGTACGGGTGAGATGTAACCTATAAAGCATGTGTCATGTTACATCTTAAATGTCATTGCTACTTGATGCCTACTGACAAAGTGACCTACTAGTAGGCGTGTTATGAAAGTGAAGACTAGTACATAGTAGGTCTGTTTCAACAAGATTCGGGGATTGGTTCCGAACCGTTCGAAATGTTTGGCCAGATAAGTTTTAAATAAATGTGAATATATCGCAAGAATTAGTTGGATGCACATTTCGAACGGTTCGAAACCAATTCCTGACTTCTGTTGGAACAGACCTACTATCGCACTAGGCCAGCGGTCTTCAAACTTTTACGACTTGCGGAACCCCGCCAACATTCCGTTTTTGAGGAACCCCCCACCTAAAAATTTTCAAACATTTTTTACCGATTTAATATATTTATAAATACTACGATTAACAAAATAAATATTCCTCTAAGTAAAAATTAAAGACATTAAAGATTAAAGTAAATATTTATTGAGTTTGATCAAGGACTGGGATGTGCTTGAATATTTTTACGTAATATGTTAAAATCAGCTGCTATTGTCATAAGTCGGCGGTTTTCAAACTTTTACGACTTGCGAATAATATCGATAATAAAATTTTAAATTTTTGACAGTCCTGGAACCCCCAGAGAAACAGTTTGAATATCGCTGCACTAGGCGAAATAAACTTAAGTAACTAATTGTGGGAACCAACTACTCTATGGACTATATGCCCTGACTGACAGAATTACACATCCAATATCTAGTAAATAGCTAAATTATTCTTCAAGGTAGTCGTCAGACACAGACCAGTTTCGAACATATAAGATCGAGAGACGGAGATAGGAAAATAAAAGATGTTGAACATTATACAGAAATAAGTTTTATTTATGTTGCTAAAATCCAAAAATAACAAGATTATCATCGGCCTACGATAAAATTCTGTTAATTGATATAAATTATATTACTTGGGTCAGGTAATTGCAAAATATAAATTTCGTAAAACGAATACATTCGTAGTCTTATTTTATTTCACATTTCACAATATATTCTAAAATAAAAAATAAATCTTCGTACGCGATATATTCAAGTTCATATAATTTTCTGCTTTCATAAATGCATAAACTTGTGTAAAAAAAGACAGGGTGTAATTAAAATGCTTGGCTATTTGGCCGAATTTTTTGGGTGTTCTGTCACAACAAAAAAATTCAAATAAACGTGTTTAATGATGCGATTTCTCAGAGTTCTGGAGAACATTCAGCACCAATTTTGCATAGTCCATGCTTATGTGCTTCTACTTTAGTATTGGTGCTTGCGATATATTTTGTTACCGAATACATATTTTATTTTGTAAAAATACATTTTCTTTCAATTATTATAAAACGAGGCGTTTTTATCACAAACTCGGTGTCAAAATTTTATGTACAATTTAACTTTTCTGAAATTCAAACAAAATTACATCTCAAAATTATTATTTTTTTTAAATTAATATATTTTTTTTCAAGTTAGGTAATTTTTTTTTTAATTTGATACTACACTTACTGTTAATTATTAAAAGTCTGGCCATATTCACTAAGTAGTAAATATTTAAGTCTGCATACTTTTTATGTAATTTTGGTGTAAAATGTCAAAGCGCGAATGAAGGGGAGGGGGGTTGCAGTACCCATTTTTTTTGAGTATGCCTCCAAGTATTTTTTTTATGTAAAGTGGCGTTTTATTCTATTTTTTTCACTCTTAAGATTTTGGTTTGGGGCACGGTTTAGGATATATTGTAACTTTTTTGGATACGCGACAATTTACTCAATGTTAGACTTTAATTTTTGGGATCTTATGAAAAATTTCTTTTATATGACATCGATACTAACTAAAGAACAGTTAAAGAAACGAATTGTACGCGGTAAAGAGCACTTTAGGCTGAAACCCCATATTTTGATTTGGGGCTTATTGTATGAGACATTGCAACTTTTTTAGATGTTAGATTTAGCTCAAAAAACGATTATGACGATGACCATTTCCATTTTTTTCAATAAATTATATAAATAACGACTCAAATCTTTCATATAGCCGCAAAACAAAGTCAAACGTCGACTAAATCGATGTAGCACATCCAAAAAAGTTACAATATCTCGCAAACGAGGCCCCAAATCAAAATCTTACAAGCATGAAAAAAATAGAACAAAACGCCACTTTATCTTAAAAAAAAATGTTCCGAAAGCATAGGCCTACTCAAAAAAAAATAGGGGGTACTGCAACTATTTTAAATCAAAATTACACAAAAAGTGTGCCGGCGTAAGATCAAAATTATGTGCTAACTTTCAAATCTCTACCATCACCGGAAATATCAATAAAAAATCATTTTTTAAATTTTAACACCCTGTATTTTGAAAATGGTTCTCTGAAATGAAATCCCATTAAAAATAATGGGACTTCATTTTGGAAACCCATTTTCTAACCACATATTTGAACTAAAAGTCCAAATATGGTTAACGGGTTGACTAATTAATTTGTAACACCGTTTATTTTATTTTTTTCAAATCCCTGTGAATTACTATTTTCTTTAATTTCTATTATGAATAAATTAATCGAAATAATTAAAAATGACTTCCCAAACTTAAACGTGTCATTTTCAATGCATTTTTAAGGATCAAGGGTTTGAAATTTCCAAAAATTAAATAACTGCTTCCTCGGAAACTGTTCATGTGGAATGTGAAAATATTTCTGTAAGATGCTTTATAATTTGTAATACAAAGTTATTTAATTTTGTGCCTAAAGAAAAACAAAATTGAAAAAGAAAAAATTGGAAATTGCAACAAAAAATTTAAAAAATAATGGAAATAAAGTAAACAGAATGTTACAAGTTATACTTTAATATTGTATTTTTTAATATTACAATGGAATAATTCGGTTCTACCGAGTCCTCAATAAAACCGTACAATAAAAGTAGTATGCCTTAAATTGTCTAAAACCAGGAAAAAAAAATTGTTCCAAGTGTACTGTACCACATATTAATAAAATAAACGTTTTTAGAATTGAATAAACTCTCCTCGCATGATGCAAACTTTTCTAAACTTATACAGCAACCCTTATTATTTTCAATACTCTGTTAATAAATGTAGGGCTGGTGGACACACGTTTGTATGAATTCTTTTTGTCAATTTGTGACATAAAACCATTTTAAAATTCGACCAACGATATTGTAATTACATCTTGCGCATTTTAATGATTCTGCACAAACCGAAAATTAATTTTTAGCAGGCGGCCTGAACATCCCTACCACCACCGCGTGATCCCTCTCGTAGGGCTCCAGCGTAATTTGTTCCTGAGGTTTCAGTTTATCCGCCTGTAATTTTTTAACTTCCGCAGCAAACACGGCTTCGGGCTGTGCTGTTGAATCTATACAAGACGCTTTAATAGATATCACAAAATGCCCCCCATTCTTCAAGAAATAACTGGCGTTGAGGGCAACTATTCTCGCTTGGTCGGGTTGCGCAACGTCAGCGAATACTGTATCGACCATACCGACTAACATTCTATACTTATGCGGGTGTCGGGCGTCCTCTATAATAGGGATGATGTTCGTGCGTTTTTTCGCTACGTTTATTAGATCTCTACCGGACCTGTGCGAGAATTCCACCGCATACACTAAGCCTTCCGGCCCGACTATGTCGGAAACATGCGAAACTGTGGTTCCCGATGCCGCTCCCAGATATAAAACTTTGCTGCCTGGAGACATGTAAATTTTATCTACGCCACCTAATATGGCAGCAGCTAATTTACTCCTGAAAGGGTTCCACACTCTATACTCCACTTTTTCTCCATCGGTCTGAAAAGGGAGTTCAGAAATTTGGTTAAATAGAGAAGATTACAGTATCGGACAAAATTAGATCTACTAAGTAAAGTATGCAAACAAATTTTATTCGCTTATGGTACAAGTGAAATATGCTCGATAGACTTTAAAGATAAAACTGTAAAAATTGGTTTTATTTTATAACACTAATAAACGGTTAAATTTTTCAACTTGCCGCTGTGCATTTTATTTCCTCTAATTTTGTCCGATACTGTATGTACTGAAAAACAGTTCTTTGGAACTTTTTTTAAATTTGTATAACGAAGCTAAATACACATTACTGTGATTTCTTACCTCCACAGATATGCGTTTTTCACCGTACACCTCTGACCCAGGCACTAGGTTCAATGTGACCAATGCATCTTCCCTTCCTTTTGCAACGAAAACCCCCTCGTGTCGATGGGGTTCAATAACTACAGTCTTTCCTCCTCTGAAACCGCCGCCTCCGCCTCCACCACCACGTCCTCGACTACCTCCTCCACGTCCTCCCCTAGGTCCACCACCTCGACCAAAACTTGGCCGGCCACCTCTGTCACCACCACGGCCACCTCTTCCACCGCCTCCTCCACGGCCTCCACCAAAACCGCCTCTACCACCCCCGCCACCTCCACGGCCGCCACCAAAGCCGCCTCTACCACCACCGCCTCCTCGACCTCCTGGTGAGAATCCTGAAAGAAATATTTTAATTAGGACGAGTAATCAATTTACAACAAATATTAGTCGATTTTATGATAGTTTTAATTAAAAATAAATTCTAAACTAGTCGAAATATGACATAAGTGAAAAATATAATACCTGGTCGACCCATGTCGTACTATAAATTGAGAATTCTAATAATTTTCTAGACAATTTGTAAAATTACCGCTACCACGTGTGTATCAAAGCGTTGGTTGGTTACTTAACCTCAATTTTTTAGTTATTTTCATAACATTGTATACGTTTTTGTTGTGATTGGTATCATTGGCAAAAGTGGGATTCTGTGGTTCAGTCCACAGTTTAAACAGAAAAATATCTAGATTGGGTAGTCTGCTAAAATATTCAATATGAGATGCTTTTCGGTGTACGGGTAAGAGTAATTCAGAGTGCTCCACAGCACACTTCATGTACTTTTAGCAGAGATACTCTACTCCATATCTCTGATATTTAGGCGCTCCAGTGCACAGTAGTGTGTAAGTGTGATACACTGGAGTGCTCTATTCTTTCTACCCTGATCCCTAAAACACCAAACGATTTTTTTGGTGTTTGATGCAGTTCAGTTGAAACTACGACAGAAGACGATTTTAGTCCTATATGTACCGAAATACATAACACCACGCCGTTGTAGTATCTAGCACTTTCCGTGCACATAACCCCCTACGCTATAGGTCCCATAGCGAGCGCGCGTGATAGAAAAATTTTAAAATAAATAATGCAGGCTACTTTGAATTAGATAAATCAATAAATAATGAAAATATGTCTGCGTATAAGGAACAATAGCGACCCTAGCGGTAAAATCTATAAGTAATTTTTACTATTACATTCTTTAATTTTGTCAATTATCCTGTTGGAGTTCGTGCTCCTTGTCTAGTCTGGTCTCTTGGTATCTGCGATTCTGTGATTTCTGTGTTCTGTGATTTAAAAATTAAAAATGGCTACTATTCATATACAAAGCGGGAAAAATAATATTGATCATAGCTTAAAATATAGTAATATACAAAGTGTCCCTTTTAAAATTCATGCTGATTGTGACGCTAAAGTAACCAAATATTTTGATAAATATGTTAAAACCCAAGAGAACGGAAGTATGTTACACTTATAACCTCAACATATGCTTCTAGTTTAATACAATTTGAAAATACAAAAATAACGGTCTGACTTAATTTAATTTTACTATTGCGTATTTTATTCCTTAATTTTTACGTATATTGTAATGATAATTCGACGATATTTTCAGCTTTCACTGGTTCATTTAGGGGATGCCCACTCCGAGGAAAGAAGGTAGAAATTCCCGAAAGCTATGTAGGCCTAGTCTTACACGAAAGTATTAAACCTTCCAGGGAGAAGGACGAACGCAAATTCTATATAATTAATAATTTTAATGAAATAACATTTTGGAACTGGGATAAAGTAACTAGTGATAATGACTCGATTACGCAAGCCTTGCAGTGGATCGACATTGCTGAAGCTGTACGTATAGAATTATGTATTTGAATCCTTCAAATATTAATATGCAGTGTCACATTTAAATTTTATTGAACAAATATTATTTCAGCTACACAGTCCGATTTTGGAAGAATGACACAAACTTTATTAACCATCTGGTGCCTTACGTGAAATGGACCGTGCCTAGTTGGTTTGTTATAGTTTTCATTATAATCTTTATGGTAATTACACATCTGATACACAATATATTGTCAATTTTTATAAACTGTTTAATAAAATACGAAAGCGTGACTATTTTTTGATTTTCTAAATAACTTGTATGCTAACAGTTACCAGTAAAAAACTATAAGCAGTGCTAAATTAAACAAAGATTGTTCATATTTATGTGCAGTATATAAAACAAGTTTTCATAAAAAGCAGAAGGATGTATTGAAAACGAGGAAAATTTTCATATTCAGAGAGGTACGTCAAACACTATTTTCAACATCTTCAACCTCAATCCACTTTGTGAGCCGAAGGATAAGCTTTGCGCTACCTTCGTCAAAAAAATCTGCCATGATTTTTTGGACCAAAACAAGGTTTCGAATTTTTTTGCTGATGGTGAAAACAGATGTCACCACTGCATTGATTGTTTTTGGGCCATCGGCATTGTCGCCAGTCGCAACACAGTTAAGGAATTGTTCACTTGGCGGGATTAGGAATAGCAACACTCATTTCAACACGCCACTACAACAACGGTTCTCAACTGACTGAGTCAAATGAGGGCGTGTTCCACTTCCAATACCTTGGCCTTGAATGCAGTGTTGCCAACTTCGTCAAAAACAAGAACCATAAAGCATCAGTCTTGGTACTTTTAATTCGTGGATATATGTCGTATATTAAACAATTGGGGTTGAAACCAAAATCGTTTGGGCATAATTTTGGTATATTTAACGAAAATTAAGAATGAAACGAATATTTAAATATGATTTTTTTAATTATATATTTATATAAATAAATTATGACTAGATGAGAAAATGTATCAAACCTTTATAAAACTTATAATACAATAAAATTTATCGTACTATAACATATTTCCACGTATACATAAACATATTCTACAATGGTAAAATGACTAACAGAAAGATTGTTTCGATATGGCAAAATAAAATCACAATAATACATTTCTTGGGCTTATTACTGCAAACAGTTACTCGGGAACATTCGAATAACTTTTACTGCTTGTAGTAGAACGTTTTGTTGAGAAAAATTAAAATAATTTTTGGCAAATATTTCCTATAGTTAAATTCTATATGTGTACAAGGTCCACCGATTAAAATTAGCTACTTCAAATAAACCACACATCATTTGATTTCTATTTGAGGTGGCTATTTTTCCCCGAAAACCATGAAAAATAAATAGTGATGTATATTATAAATATTACAAATAGTAAATATTTCATATTTAGTTATTTGAAAGTAGAACCTTAAGTTTACAAAAAAAATATCAATCATCAATAGGGACTTTTTACGAGCTAGATATGTATATACGAAAGAGAACACATTGTATGTTTTTATTCGGAATGTGGCCTGTAGCAATTTGACGATGAAAACGTTAAAGAAAGATATCTCTAAATCTAAATGCAGAATCTTAGGTTTTGTGTACTATCATCACCTTCATATAAACTTATTTCCTTAAAAATATACGTAGTTTGAAACACTACCCTTTCAGTCTATAATGTTAATAATTGCTAGAGTTTGACATTTTGCGTGCAAAGACACTAAGAAGTTGAAAAACTATTTCTGAATAAGGTATCTAGAGTGTTATCAACTTGTGTTATTATCCTATAACACCCTTGGTACCTTCAACGTTAAATGTTGTTAGAATTTGTTTTGTGTTGATGTTGATTTTTTTAAATTGTTCTAATGCATTGTAGTAGTGTATATTCACAACGCCCTATAGCATTATATCTCGATGTATCTCAAAATAGCAAAATAATAACTCGGGAACATATTTTTGCGAAAATAACCGAAATTATTCATTAACAACCACAGACGTCGAAGTACTACACACACTGAATTTGTCATGTAATAAAAATACCCAGTATGGCAGCTGTAAGAGTCGATTTCTTCTATGCGTGCGACTTTAAATGTCTTTTAATGAATTTATTAATTCGGCTGCCGAGAATTGAAAGAATTTGCAGGATAATGTCAAACTTCTTTAATTACTATAAACGTGTCTAATTTCAATAATTGAATCAGTCTATATGAAAATGAAAAATGTGTAATATTTACTATGGGAAAAGTGTTTAGTCTCTTTCAATGTCCCTACCGGCAAAAATATATCTAAAAAATAAAAGTTTCTTTATAAGAAATAATTTGATCCTTATAATACTGTGTTATAAAGATTCTTACATTATTTACAGCCATTAAAAGATATAAGATAAAAGTAGCTTACCGTTAACAACGTATAAATCATAAATTTCCTGCTAACGTTCGGCGTCGCACTGTAATTAAAAAAAAATGATAATGTTGGGGATATGAATTCTACTTTTAAAGCTTAAATTAAATAACGTCCCGTTATTTATTCCAAACGAGTCTACGGATTCCTGTCTCCCGCCTCCCGCACCTGTTCCGCCCTTTGCCTCTTCTGACTCTCCTGCTTGATAAACAAACTGAGCCTGTCCAGCAAGAACTGCTTGTCGTGTCCCTCCAACACGAGCTGATTCTTCAGCACCACCACCATGTGTCGGTTCGCGGAATTAACCGCGGTGTAATAATACAAAAGAAGCAGCAGGATGATGAATATGGGTATCGCGAAACCGGCGGTGCTCAGAAAGAAAATAATATTTTGGACCCACAGAGGCGCTTTCATGAACGTCTCAACGATCAACGACCACACCGATTCTTTGTTCTGGAAGGGTCCGCACGATTTCGAGGGGGTTAATTCCGAAACGGAAAAAGCGATCGGTAGAACGGCAAACACGTAGGAGACCAACAAAACGACCATAAACATGGAATTTGATCTGGAGGCTCGGTATATGACGGGGCTGGGTTTGCAATTGACTAGACATGCGAATTTCTTGATGTAGAACAACAGTAAAAAAATAGCGAAAGCCATGAAGGATATCAGGGGCGCGTAAAACATACCGAACCAGCACAGCGTCTGCGTATATACGATGTCCAGGGCGTGCTTGGGCAAGTCGAACGTTTGTTCCCCTATAAATACACAGAACTTGTTATTCAGATGGCTCGCCAGGAGAGATCGGATGAAATTAATCACAAACGTAATGACTATATGCGTCCCGAAATCAGTTAAAAGCAATTTGTATATCTGTTGACCCACGAAAGTCTCCCAACAAACAGGTACGTTATCACAATTCGTGCACGACACGCCGTCGTCTTCTTTGTCGCACGATATTTGACTAAGTAAGGAAGCGTAGAGTACTATAAGGGAAGCCAGTCTTAGGAAAACCGTCCGTATCAGCGTGAACCTTATATTGAACACGGGGCTGTACTTCTCGAAGTTGATGAGGAATTTGAAGAGGAACGGCACTATTATGTTCAAGCCCACTATCGTTATGGATGGTAAGAACTCGAAAAGGAGCTGCTGGAAGCTCTCCGTAGCCGTCGACGTGGTGTTTGTTGCGAAATTCTGCAATTGTTCGTTAGAGTAGTTGAAGACTAAAAATATCCCAACGCCACAGCCCGCCAGGATGCCCAGCACGATTATATTTACAATTACTCTGCTAAATATTATCCTGTACCACTCGTTCCTCGTGCGGCTCTGCCGCTCCTCCTCCAGCTTTTCCGTCTCGAGGGTGGCCTTGATCTCGCTGAAAATAGCTTTGTGCTTCATTTTTGCGGATTTGTCGTTGTGTATACAAAAGTCCCACCCGCCGAACACCATGTTGCAGTACTGGTAGAACTGTCCTTCGCCTTCGACTAGCCGTTCCTTGAACCCCTTAGCGGAGGACCGTACGACGGCCAAAAGAGAAATGGCGAAATACAGGATGGTGATGAGGATATACGCCAACGGAAGATCGTAATACATGACCACACTCCCTGCCATGTAGGAAAGTATCGAGCTGCTGTAGAAACCGTAAAATAAGATGGTGCGTTCCAACATGCCCGTCCCCTGGACCAAATCTAGGATGATGTTAGTTTCTGTGAGAGTCGAATTAAAATATTTTTCGGAACAACAACTGGTGGTGTTGGTTTCCGTGCAATTCGTGTCCTTTTCCCAATCCAGGAGTATTGCCGGAAGCGGGATGAAGAGGAATATAAGCAAAAACATAAGGAAGTTTAACACGAACAACCATTTGAGGAAGAGGAAAAACGCAACTACTCCCGTTCCGTAATTCCCTTCTATGTGTTTCAGGGCCCCTCGCCACAGTTCGATCTTCTGAAGGTGTTCCTTCAGTCGAGACTGGAACTGGCCCCACATTTTCCGTCTCTTCCACTTGAACTGTTCGTATCCTTGGAGCCTCAAATTAGGTTCATTCTAAAAAAAATAGATTATATGTTCTCGCTATTACATAAGTTCATATTTTTCTTTAATTAACAATATTATTTTGACAAAAAAATACTTTATCCCACAGATTTGAAATATGTTTTAAAATCATTCAAGTCTTTAACAAAAAGTAATTGTTAATTTTTAATGCACTGTGTTTAGTTCGTGATTCTCAGTACCAACGAACTCTGGCATTGACTGAAATGAGAATGACTGAATATGTCGCTGCTTCATTTTGTTAACACTTATTACAGTTTTTAGTTGAACGGTTTACGAGGAGGTGATTTGGTACGTAATTTCGCGACTTGCTGTGTGAAGAACTGTTTTTTCTGTAATCGAAATAGAATTTGTATAGCTTAAGTTTCTGTGTGATATTATGGAAAAAAAATATATACAAATCAAGAAAAATGACAGCATTGCACGCTGTAGCTCCCAATTGGGTATTCGCTCATGGCTAACTAGATTACATTAGCTTATCCAGAGGCGAGAAATAAAAAAAGTTACATACATCAAGTTTTCAGTAATTTTGAACGCCTTTATAGGAGTTTCTTTTTTAATTTGAGAATTTGAATTCGCCATTAACTGAGCGTTTTAGCCACATCTTGTATAAAGAATTTTGTAAAGTGATAAATATTTAATCTCTTTTATAGTTTTTCCAACAATTCTGAAATGATGAAATGGGCAACTTAAGTGGAATTTACATTAATTTAAGCATTATTAAGTGATTTAAGTATAGTTAATTCAGATAATGTCATCGTAATTTGATTCTGAAGTGGATTAATATGGAAACGCACTTGAAATTCTTTTAGATATAATACTTTTAGTTTAAAATGTATGATTCACTATCACTTTCAGTAGAATCAGTTTCGATTATTGCTGTGAAATTAATATAGAATCTTATTCTGCAAATTTACTTCATGTTCATGAAAACATAATTATTTTTCTCGTTGATTAAAATTTGGTTAAAAGGAATTTTCTAGTTATTTACAAATTTTGTTATTGAAGGTGCACGTATACGTATTTAATATCTTTAAATCTTCTCTTAAACCTTCAACTAACAATGGGAATCTATTTTTGTAAACAGCATAATCCATTTTATCTTAACATTTATAGGTTATAAATTTTTAAAGTAAGATATGGAAATGTTTTTTCTTGTCTCCACGTCGTTATTTATTAACATCATTATTATACCCAGAGTTGCAATAATTTAAGCATTTACATCGTGCAATCACAGTAGCTGCAATATTTCTTAATAAATCCACTAGCTCCTTATTTAGCACTTTTTCGATACATGGTACATGATTATTTAAAAGATAACATGCTTTATTCACTTGCATCTTACGGCAGCAAAAAGAAAAACGTAAATTTCTAAATTATAAAAGTTAATAGTGATATTTTTATTTCATAAAGAATTTTAAGAAAATCAGAATGTTTATAATATGGGGGGAATGTAACTATAAGATGACAAAATGCAGATAAAATTTACAGGAATTAAATTCCACTTGAAATACAGATACGTAAAAAACAATCATTCAATAAGGAAAGATTAGAAGACACTGTAATCCTCTTATCAGTTTATTGTTTTTATTTACCTTGTAAGGGAAATACCACGTGAGATTTAGGAGACTTAAGAGATAAAGACATTTAACGGATATTTTTCACCTAACAAAGGGTGTTACTGTTTTATCTATGATGTTTTTCTCTTACACGAATGTTCAATCAAAATTTTTCTCTGTCAACAATCTCACTTTTTCATTACATCCAATGGAATAGCTTACCAGAATTTTAGCCTTCATTTCCTTTTTCTGCGACATCGGTATAGGCATAGCCTTTATCTGCATGATTTCTTCCCAAGCAGTTTCCTCATTCGATCTCATCTGCGACAAATCCGGCAACATCGAAACTTGCACATCACCCGCTGTAGAAGTTCTACGGTGAACCGTGGATTCTCTGCGAGATCTAGTGGCGGTATGCCACCGAATTGTTCTATTATTTGCTCGGCTGTCATTTGTACGTATTCTGATAGTGGCTGCAGCTACAAATTTCAATAGATATTTAGAAATTTTATATTTTTAACAATAGACATATCATACCTGCTCTTGTTTGTTTACTTGGTAAGAGAGTAGCCAGTCGCTTGGGATCTCGCTGTAACACTTCTATTTCAGCATCTATAGGATAAGATTCCTGGTAAAATTCGGAACCAGCTTCTTCCCATCCCTGCGAGCGGGTGGCTTTTTTCCTATTTCCGCCACCACCAGACATGTTTTAATTTAACTTATCTACAAGAGCGGCAATTCATTAATAAATGAATCACAAAGCGATCGCACACTATCTGAGATAGCTTAATGAGGTGAATAATAAATACCTGTTTACATTTTATTTGATAGTAAAGATAAATCTGGAGATTACACTAATGACTGATTCGTAATCTTTTTATTGTCTCACTACATGGACCAATTTTTGGTAAAGGAATTTGACAATTTGACACCTATTTGTCAGTCACGTCAACTGTCAAAAGTGATAAGTCCAGTGATGCCAGTAGGGCAGACACAAAATATTGAGTAGAGTTGAAAATACCTAAATGTTAGACAAAAGTTCCCTACAGGTTTTTAAAGTATACCAAACAACCAATTTTCTAGGGAAAATTAACGACCTTTCTTCTAAAAGTAATAGTTTCTTCTGTAATAGTTTTTTTTATGTGTGTTAATCTAACTAAATATCAGACTGAGGACATTTCACTTATTGTTGTAATCTGGAAATCCCTATTTTGTACAAAAGCATAAAATCTCTAGATACTTATCATATAAAATTCTCGATTTTCCTAGTTTTACAACTTTCTGAATATTTTTCTCCGGAGCTAGGGAAAAGTTCCTACATATGGCAACACCGGCTAAGGGACATGCCGCAAAACGATAGATAAATATAAAGGCTTTGCTACATATGACTGTGTTTTTTTCCCAAATAGGTTATACTTAAATCTTAAATCCCTTTTATTGGGCAAAATTTGCAAACTGCATACACATGAAATCTTGGAAAAAAATTATTTACGCAAATGAAAATTACAATTAATTTACAGATTTTTCAGTTTATTTATGTTGAAAAAGTGGATTATACATATTTTCTACTTTCACACAAAATCTCAAAATTTATTTTAAAACTTTAATCTTATCAAGTTTAAGGTTCACTAATATACATTGGAATGCAAAATAACTTTATTTTAAATAGAAATAATTACCTATTAATTTATGTACAGTAAAACTATAACACAATTACATAATTAAACACGTAAAAGCTACTTACAGAACAATCTAAAATATTTTTACAGCATATTTACCCCTCCCACTATATTGACTACCCTCCCCTTATATTTCTTAGAAATATCTTCCTGAATGTCCTTCTGCAACTGTTTAGTTCTTTCGATAAGCAATTTTATAACAGGTTCAATGCCTTGAGCTTCCTCTCGTAATTCCTTGATCTTCTTTTCGAGTGCCGATTTACTTGCCCTCATCTTCTCGACCACAGATAATTTCTGTTTTAGGCTTGCGGATAAAATGTCAACATATTTTGGGGAATGCTTGATATTGTGTAAATGTGAAATTCGCTTATTTGTTAGCTCGTCTAATGCCACATTAACGCAGTCGTTTAACATAGCGACAGACTCCACCGTCTGCATCTGCAAAATGGTGGGTGCGTCCTGCATTTGGGACATGGCTAGCAAATCCGAGTCACTCGACATTTCATATAAACGCATTTTCAAGAACGCACTGAGCTCCATTAAGTTGTTAATAATTTGTTCGCGAGTTTTCGGGTTATCTAGAATTGTAAGCGCCTCGTCGCCTTTAGCGACACCGCCGTCTATTCCTGATTTTTCTACGACGATGCCAGATTCTTCCAGATTTATTTCTATATCTTCATGGGTAACAATTTCAAAGTCCTCTTCCGGACTCGACGAACCCCAATCAATGTCTTGGTTCTCATCAAAGTCAATACCTTCATTTTCTGTGTTTATTTGAAAGTCAATTTCAGCACCGTTATCTCCAAAATCAATTTTGTCACTATCGATATTTATTTCGTCTACATTTAAGGGACTCTGCTCTTCTATGGTGATGGGCTTTTCTCCATAAATATATTCGTAAGTAGTTGTGTTCCCATTTTCTACTAGATATTTTAAGATAGTTAGAACATCAGTGCTGGTATTTTTACCAGACAAGAAATTATTAAATTCAGTATACAATTGAATTGCAGGTTTTACAATTTTTATTTTCTCCGCAGTACCTTTATAGAGACTTGGTAATTGCTTAAGTAGCTCTATCAGTTCTTGTTTGATTTTCTTTCCCGCAATTCCTAGTTGCTCGCAAGATGAATTAAATTCCTTCAATGCCACAGATTCTATTTTAGAGTAATCTTTTATTTTTTTCTCACATTCCAGCTGTGACTGTTCTAATTTGGCTACCTGTTTTCGTAAACCAGGTATTTCATAGCTAACATTTCTTACTAGCATTTGAGCAATCTCCGCGAGGTAAACGTTATCTTTTTGGTACGAAGACACTATATCTTGCCAATCTTTCATCCGTTGAGAACCGTACCTTCCAAACAAATTCTTAGAATCCGCTTCAGTTTCTTTTAGTATGTCAACAATTTTTAGACAGTGAAAATAATTAATGTGCTGACCTGAAAGCAATTTTATGATACCCTCGTGAGCTGGCATATCTTGAATGGCGTTGTTAATTTTCTCTCTTATTTTTAAGATGTTACTTTGCCAATCTTTATTCACATGTCTTCTACTTATCAACCAGTCCAATAACTTGTTCGTGTTGATGTCGATAGGAATATTTTGCTCGTCCATAGTGTTAAAATTTCAAAAAATTAACATATGTTAACTTTCTAATGTAAATATAATTTTTTGACAAATGTCAAATGTCAAATTACAAAATTAACTCAGAACCACATACAAAGGGTCTTTCGATTTGGCAAGAATAGTAGATATCAGCAGCTAGTAGCAACTTAGAGTTACTCTGAACTGAATCTATAAAAATGTATTGCTGATTGCCTATTTGCTGTAGAGTCCTCTTAAGCTGTAGATCCCTTTTAGTAGTGCAAATGCATTGTAGTTCAAATGTGCACAATAGGATTTGAATGCCTATCCAGTGAGCAAAACAACTTTTGGATAAGAAATACCGGGTGTTCAAACTTGTAATTATATTGGAGCGTTTACAAAGAATTTCATTTAAATATACGATATTATATTTACACGTATTAAATTTATTATTGTAACCTTATGATATTCTCTCGTTAAATTATTCTAACTATTAAAATCTGCGACATTCCAATTCATTTGTTTAGGTACCGATTTAAGTACTTTCTTTTATTCTCCACTACTTGGGTGTTAGGTATAAAAATTCACAGACTCCTGGACGAATAGTTTTATTATCCTTTAATCCCTTACATTTATTTTTATACATTTAAGCGTCCCTATTAACAAATTTATACACATTTTTTTGCAAATCAATAGAAAACTATACATTTAAAATTACATTTTAAATCTTTCTGTAAGAGCAATAATAACAAATGGTTAATATTACTCTCCTTTAGTACTGGGGATACAATATATTAAATACCTACATCATGTATTATTCAAAGTGATAGACACAAACCTTTATTTATTGAATTACGATACATGTATAGATCAGCACCATTTTATATTTTAACATGCTTTTTTTTAACGTTAAGTATTTGATGGGGGACTCATACTTTGGGAAAAAACAGTTACAGCTCGATTAAGAGGGCTCTATCACAAATAGGCAACCAGCAATACATTTTTAGAGATTTTATTACACAGTTTGTCTAAATATGAACTAACACACAAATAACAGACTTTCCTCCATTCTAACGCAGATTTTCTATAAAATGGAGTTAGTTTGAAACGAAAATTACTTTTTGGTTTAAAGAAATTTGTAATTTATGATGCAAATGACAAATTTCTTTACAACAAAAAGTAATTTGAGTTGCAAACCAACTCCATTTTATAGAAAATCTGCGTTAGAATGGAGGAAAGTCTGTTATTTGTGCATTGATGCATAATTAGACAAACTGTGTAATAAAATCTATAAAAATGTATTGCTGGTTGCCTATTAATGATAGAGCCCTCCTAAGTAATCTGGCAAATTAGTGTATGTATTCACATAGTCCAGTTGCTAGAGGTTTTGAGATGGCAGTAATTAAGAAGTGCACAATTTTCTGTACGAGAGTGGACCGGGAAAATTCGGGAAATGGCTATTTCACAGGGAAAAATGATTCCTTCCTTAAGAAAACTATGTGGGATCATCGCGAGTAGAGTTAGAATAAATAAGAGCTTGTGTCGGTCTTAACACTACACGATGCAGCAGATGTTGTGTCCTCTGAATACCTAAGTCAGTCAGTAATAACAATAATTCAATATTAAAACAATCACATTTATATAAAATGACGCAGAAACATGCGACGTGCCGTCGGTCGTCGAGTCGCCATCCTCAGGCTGGACGCTGTAGCCGCTCGCGTAGGTGAGGTTCACGTGGAAATTACCCTCGGTTAGGCCGTTGGGTGATCTCACTATAAAACTATATTCTCCGATGTCCACGTTTGTCACCTTCGTTAGGAACAGCACGGCTTGGTGGCAGTTAGGCTCTGTTGAGTTCTGCAATTACACAAAACTGTTAGTGCCTAGCTTGCATGTGCTATGTACAGAGTGCGTTTTTTAATAGCATTTCAAAAAAGTTGGCGATTTTGACGGAAAATTCACTTTGGCCCACTATTTTCAGAAAAAAAGCAAGTTTAATTTGATTTAGCGAACGTCAGTATTCTTTAAAATAAATTTGAATCAGCTATCTCCGCTTTTTTTACTGTTATACTGATAGTAAATTGAAAGTAATCAATTCTACTTAAATTCAAATTTTTCATTTTCAACATTCAATAAAAAATATTCTGTTGCCAGACATATTAGTGCCAAATAATTTGCAAAACTACAGTCACTTGACCCAGCCTGAGATTTTATTTAATTAATTTTATTTTAATCTTTGAGCTATTTGTCCAAATTAGACAACAGCCACACAAAAAAAAAGTTGTCTACTTTTCACGCGACATATTATATTATCCGTAGTATTTTTGTCTCCTGATTACGATTCTGGTGTCAGAATTGAGCTATCCCATCACAGGAATTTCCTAACCTCAAAAAACATGTCAAAAATAGCAAAAATTCACGAAAAAGTGTAATAAAAAAACAAAAAAAATTTTTTTTTTGTATATTCAAATGTTCATTTATATGGTTAAGACCTCGCCGAACGTAAATCCGCGGTCAGAATTGATGGGTTTTTTTCTAACCTCAAAAAAACGGGTCAATATCACGAATTAAAAAAAAAATAACAGATTCGCCAAATTTCCAAATTTGGTGTACGGGGGTTTTCGGGGTCGCACATCTCGGATCCGAGGTCAATTTAGCAAAATTCAAGATGGCGGATCCAAGATGGCCGACCAAATTTTCAAAAAATAACAGATTCGCGTCAAATTTGCTATACGGGGGTTTTCGGGATGGCTGATTACGTATTCGATGTCAAAATTGCGAAATTTATTTTGTAATATTTTTGTTTACTTTATAACCTGAGTACCCAATCATGTTTTAACCTTCTTTTTTTCGGCTATATCTTTTTTTTCTGTAAATGATCTATTCACGGGTTTTCTGCCTAATCTCAGGTAATAAAGTACATAGGTAATTGATTAAATGCATACAGGGTGTTCCTTAATGATATGCGAACATTTAAGGGTGTGATTCTACATGAAAAATTAATGATAGTCTGCTTTATAATTTCAGTTAATAAAGGCGCATGTTTTTCAAATACAAACATAATTTTTAACTCTAACAGTGGCGTGCGTACGATCACTGTCTTTGACATTTTTAAAGAAAAAAAATAGTACGCCAATGGTTTTTTTCCCTAATAAATTTTTGAAATCCCTGTTCAATTTGAAAGATAAGAGCTCTCTTGAGTGTTTGTCCTGCGGTGCGCTGGTTTTGAGTAAAAAAAATTAAACCAGTTGTATTGTCCGTAATTAATTAATGTAATTACTGAATACAATTTTGCAATAAACCTAGTTGGTCTGGTATCACTTGCATTTCTGACGTTTCGAAAATATTAATAAATTATTTTTCCTAAAACTTTAACACCGTGTATTTTCGCAACGGGATATTTTTGACCATAAAGCAAATTATCATTCATTTGCAAATCATTAAAGAACACCCTGTAGATGAACATATTTAAAACGTCAAATTATCCTTATTTGATGTCTGTGCTTAATGTTAAGTAATTTAACAAAACAGTTTGCATTTTCAAGAGTCCCAGGGAATCTTAGAAATTAAGCAAAAGTAAAAAAATAACACGCCTGAAAATCAAGGAATTTAATTTGAAATGTCTTAAAATAGACGTGGAATTTGAATCATTTTGTGCTTGGCAGGTATTTCTAAATTCGACAGGAAAAGATCGACAGAATGCCAGAATGTGATATTAAATTAATTGTAAGATAATATTCTTTAAATATAAAACATCCGGGGTGTAAATAATATACTTGGCTAAATTAAATAACGGATATTACGTCACAAATCAACCAGATGACTGAATCTGGGTGGGCCCAAATGGGGGGACTATATTTCTTCTAGGTGGGTCACTGTTTTGGTTCTGTGAAATTAACTTAAAAAAAATAAATAAATAAGAAAGCTCTAATACAAATTGCTTTACTTCATATCGCTTTGTATGTTGTATATTTTAAATTTTTTTAATTAATGGCGCGGAATACTTGTAGGCAACAGTTAATCATAGTAGCTTAAAAGAAGGGAATAACGAAAAATGTATCAAAAATATTTTCAGGAAAACAGGAAGGAAACAAGAGAATAGTGAATAATATTGCATGTTACACACAATTTAAGTAAACAAGTAGATGTTTTGCCAATTCAGTTAAAAACATTGATACAAGTACCTACGTAATAAAAATCATTGATAAAGAATTGTAGTTATTATTAAAAAATTTTAAACTCTCATTCACGTACCGTTATACCATAAGCTATGACGGTTTTGTCCGCATCGCCGGGTTTGTAAACTTTCTTATTTTTTGCTATCCAGAGGACCTTGTTGTAGGGAGGATTGGCACAGAATTCCATGGTCAGTGTGAGGGGTTGCCCATATACGGCGGTGATGCTTTTGTTCGTTGGGGCTACTGTAGGTCGACCTGCAAAAATTGCGAAACTACAGTTTAATTTAATTTTCACGCTCCTGAAACCTTAATAAAAAACCTTGTTATGCAACACAATTTATTATAAATCTCGAAAGGTATTTAATTTCTAAGAAACAACGATATGACTACACTCAGAATTAGAAAACACCTTGTATAAAGCTTTGTAACTTTACTACATCTAATTTAACCAAAACTCTGTGGCTTCCAGCCTCAGTTTCTTGTGGCGAGAACCGAATTTGCGTATCCCAGTATAGATATTGATGTAATGGTAGGTATGCGGCGGTATTCGCCAAAGCTTTGTGTTTATTTACGACTTCTAGTGTTTGGCTTTCGGATAAGGAACAGCAAGGGCCGGAACTACGCAAACAGCGGGGAATTGTAATTGTAAATATCTAGCAATCTGCGTCTATCCGATATTTTTTAAAGAGGCAAGCAAAAATATAGCCACGTGAAAACCAAGATAGTTTTTTAATGAAACTTAAACACAAAGAGGATGTCGTATTCGTTACGTTTAATTGCACAACTTAATTTCCAACTCAAACGGCATCACGACAATTTCATATTCAAATACACCCAAAGACTTTAACATAAGGCCAAGCTTATATTCAACTGCTTTAGCCGAAGTTGCTAGAAACTCGGAGGTGGAAGCTTTTAACGCAGCGTGCTCCATCTCAGGCCAGGTCGTAGAGATGTCGCCGTTAATACCGCCTGTTATAATCTTAACAAATGCAAGACTTCGGCTAAATGTTCCTCAAATAATTGGCGGTAAAATTTATTTGGAAACTTATCGAATCTTATCGATTTAACATATTAAATTAATTATAATTACCTATTTAATTTTAGACAAGGCCAAAGTAAGATTTGCATTCGGTTGGCTTAAATGCGAAAGAAAGTTCTAACGAAGAATTGTCCGAAAAGGGTTTGAATTTGAAGAATAATTGAAATTTTTTAAAGCTTGAATCAGTGATATTAGAGTTGCACTAATTATTATCTACTTCGTATATTCTTAATTATTGACGGATATACTAGAATCCACTATCACTGAAAACCCTAGAAATTCGACACCACTGGATGTTTTGGAAATTAGAAATTAGCTTATAATTCTTAGTGGTGCATTTAAGAAAAAATCTGTTCTCTTTTGCTAGAAATGCGATTTTAAATACAACACATTAATGAAAATGTCGAAAAAATCATCACGTAGAAATATTGCGTTTTTTTGAGCTATGCATATCTACGCTAATAATATTCTTGATACTTTCATTATCGCATTGTCTTTAAAACAAGATATTTTTCTTACAAACGCTTCTAGAAATTAAAAACAGCATTAAATTTGAAAAATGCCCAGTGGCATTGAATTTCGGTGGTTCTTACAGTGACAAAGTTAGATACTTTGTCACTAGGGTTTTTACATTTACGTATAGTCAAATTGTAGAAAATACCTGTTTTTTTGCCAAAACTTAGTTCAGTAAACAGACACGTACAAATTAGGAAAAATTCCGTAGAACTGAATGAACTACTTTACTCCAGCTGAATGTTAGGGCTCCTTTTTCAAAATGGCGTCCGAAGTTCGCAAAAATAGTTTTTTTTCTCATTAAAAAAAAACCTAAACATTTTTTACTGTAAAAAAGGGGGTCAATCATTGCGGACTATTTTTTATATTGAAGTAAAAGTATTCAACTACACCATGTGTAAATTTTAAACCTTGATATTATATGAGACTGTAGCGGTTTAAAAAAAAATCTCGGCTCCTTTGGTCGTAGGACATTTATTTTTAAATTAGTGAAAAAATTTCAGCTTTCAAATGGCAATAATGCCATTCCGATTAAATTTCAACGATAAGATCTACATTTTTCTCTTCAAAAACAGAAGTCAAAGTTTCGATAGATATTTCGCATATTTCCAATTATTTTGCAATACAATTTGCACAGGAAAGTACAACTTTTAGAGACAATTTTAAGCCCAAGATGGGTCACGTAAGTGTATGATTTATTGAAATTTGCATAAAAATATTTTTTTTTTTCGAAAACCTCAATATTTGCAAAAACTATCAAATATTTTGCAATTTTACAAAACTGCACTTATTCTACTTGTCAAGGATAACATATTCTGAAAGTTTCGTAAAAAAATCTTTTTTCGTTTTAAAGATATAGAAGAAAAATCGATTTCTAGCCGTTTTTTTGCAATAACTAATACATTTTTGTTATAAAAAGTTCTACAACTGTTATCCAAAACATTTTCTTCTAAAATGTTTAGTGTTTTTGTGTTTGTGTTTTTAGTGACAAATAGTGTTTTTTGCGAACTTTGGACGCCATTTTGAAAATGAAGCCCTTACAATTCAGCTGGGGTAAAGTAATTAATTTAATTCTATGGAATTTTTCCTATTTTTTTTTATGAAAGTGAGATTTCCCTCAAATTTCAGAAAAAAATCCTTCACCAACGATTTTTTGGACTTCACAATTGCATATATTTAGAATTACTGTATTTCCAACAAAAAAAATCCCATAATTTTTTTTTGGACACGGCCAGTATATTTTTAAATTAAAATTAAAAAATGATAAATGAAAAATGGGCCGTTTTTTGAAAAAGACAATTTTTTTCTTAAAAATAGCAACTGAAGTTAAATTGCTAATTATTCAAAATGATCCACATAACAACCTCCTGTAGTTATGATATACTTTATTGACAGATATCTTTGAAATAGACTTTTTTTAGTAGTGACGATTTTCGACCTTACGTACTTTGGACATAAGTCCCAAAAAAATGGCTCATTTGTCATGACCTTGCGATATTCTGAAAATATTTAAGAAGTTTCAAACCCCAAATAACAAATTAATAGAGTTATAGAATAATTTATAAATATTAAATTTATAGAACCATATTAATTTTTATAGTAATTAATAAATTCAAATTGTATCAATGTTACTGAGCATGCGCATTAAAGATAAATTCATGTAAGCGAAGTAGCTTCGCTACAGGATATCATTCAAGGAAAGTTTGGTTAAAAAAACAATAAAAATACTTAGTAGAACTGAAAAATTAAAATCAATACTCAATTCTAATCACCGATCAAAGACGAGACAAAAAGATAAGCTCGGCATATCTTAGTCTTAACTAGTCCGCCCAGATCAAGGGATACCAGGACTCCCCTAAGTCCCGAGAATTAAGACGATCGCGGCGGCACTTCTAGATGATTTGTTCTGCTTCGACCTGGCTCGGAATATACACAGCTGCTACCCTAGGCGTTGAGATCCGGAACAAGTGGGGCAAGAATAGTAAAGATAGCGGGCTTAGGTATAAAACTGATCCCCTGTGGGCCGCACTTAACATGCAAAGCATCCCATTAGGGTTGGTCGTCGAGTGTTATCACGACCAAATTCCGGTTAATATGGCCATGGATTTGATTGTCTTCTTCGAGTGTATTACGCTCAGTGGTGGAACGAATGTCCCTCGAATACTCGGATCGTAGGTATTATATTTGAAAGTGAAACTGAGACAATGTGTGGGATAGGTTTATCTTGGATGCTTTGAATATTTTGTGATTGTTTTTAAATGTAAAATAGATCTGAAGTGTATATGACTGCAATACAGCAAGTAACAGACAATGAGCAATATTGTATCCGATCGGACCACCCCTGCGCCCAGCGGGAACGCTTGAACATTTCTTACATTTTGAAAGTATACCCCTATACCTTGACATTTCGGTTTCGAAGTGAATAACCGCTATAATCTGTCCAACTGTCCGCCCCTGCCTCAGATATCTGATTGTCTAGATTGCCCCCAGTCTTAGGGGACATCGTCACAAAAGACGAGCACGACGGCGGTTGCGGTTATGGTTTACTGCGTTACCGATCGTCGTGGATAATAATCATCGTTACGTTACAGGCAACGAAATACCAGTTACATTACTGATCCAGATTTACAGGCTCATATCGACGGCGTATATCAGTGTTAATTTGATTCGAGAGAGAGGTACATAAGGGTTTATGGCCCTGGAATGGTGTAACGTTCGGATACAATGTAGATTGGAACATAAAGGTTGTTTTATCAGTATATGGAAACGAGTTACGCAAGCGGTTCGGAATTTATTTATTGACACATATAAAATTTGAATTTATATTGCCTTTTCTATATTTTTTTGCAAGGGAATTGGAACTGATACTAAGAAAATAAAGGAGAAAATATGATCCCCAAATAAAGTTGCTAAGATTGATATCAGGAATAATTTTAAGCGACTGACGAATCAAGGAGAGTATAGGAAATAACAATGCGGATTTCATGATGCGCTGGAGTGGATAAAATAAAGGAAGAAAGAGAGCGGAATGAGCACGTTCAAAGGACGGGTTGATTATCGAATATATTTGAAAAAACAAATGCCTGACGATAAGATCGATGGAAAATTCACTCGCGGCGTTCCTTAAACGAATAAAACAATTAGAACTGGCAATTTTCAATATTCATTTAATATTCTCGAATGAAGTTGAAACGGAAATAATTATAAGTATTTAAATAGCTGTAAAAATAATGGCATTCAATCATACCTGTGGTATTTTTTAAAACAAATAAATCTGGATAGGGAAGTTAGCTTTAATTTTCAATTTCACAAAATGCCGAAATACCATTACATGAAATTTATACTTTCTGACACCTGGCGCTATAAATTCAAGCAACCAGTTGTTTTGGACGTTGATAAACGTTGCATGTTGATAAAATGGCGTGGTGATACTGTATTGATGCCGCTACAAGATTCTTCATAAAATTGACATTATTTGTCGGAGCTATAAAAAAGCTGGCCCCGTACGTGTACAGGATATTCCAGCAATAAACACCTCCTACATAACTTGATGAATTTTATTATTCAATTAAAATAATGTTAATATTGTCCAGACGATAGAGCAGAGAATGCCTTTTTTAGATTTAGGGCTTAGTTTCAATGTTACAGGGAAAATATGTCGAAAAACGGGTAATTTTTCGTTCTTTTTGTGTTTATTGTACCC